GACTAGTCAATGGTCTGGACCAACGAATACAATGAAGATGTTAAAGATCAATTCTACGAGAGGCTGTAGTCAACTGTTGCGAAATGCCCACGAAAGGACTTAACCATTCTGATGAGAGACCTAAATGGATAGGACACATTGCGGAATGCACCCCACCGAGTCTTAAGACAAGCCATCACTTGGAACCCACAAGGTCAAAGGAAAAGAGAGAGGTCAAGGAACACATTACGCCGAGAAATAGAGAAAGACACGAGAAGAATGAACGAAATTGTACAGAACTGGAAAGGAAGGCCTAGGACAGAGTAGGTTTGAGAATACTGGTCGGTGGCCAATGCTCCATTGGGGTAACAGGCTCACGTAAGTAAGTAAGTAACAACAAACTTTGTTTCAGTGATTCTCAATGATTTTTCCTAATCTATTAAAACATTTCGATTACAGTTGTTATTAACTCTACAAATCATTGTAAATATTCCTAATCGAAAGTATGATAACATTTTTGTTTTGTGTTCAATAAACCGCATTTAGACTTTAACATTGCTAGTCGTATATTTTTCCTTTTGAAATCATGAATCGACCACCATTAGAAACCTGGATGCACAGGATGGCCGTTTTGTCCTGGTATAAGACTCAGCAGTGCGCGTTCACGACTCCCGGATCTTACAGGATTCAAGCCCAGGATCTTGGTCTCATACCACGAAGAAACGGCAGCTAAGTACTTCCAGGTTTCTAATGGTAGTCTAACATTGATTGATTCATGATACCAAAAATGCAACTCAACAATCTCCACAATCCCATAATGTATTTATATTTCTTACCATGAATAATCCAGCTTCGTATTAAAAATAAATTAGACAACACTAAAATATGTCAGTTCAACCAATTTGAAATCTTTTTTAATTCAATTTTGATATTTTTGTTTTTTATACAATTTAATTCTTTTAAATTCTAGTTTTATTCGAATAAAAATTACTTAACTTAAGACGTCTTTTTATTTTTTTTTGTCTTCTTCAAAATAATCCAACTATTATTTTTCTGCAACATTTTGCGTCTTAAAAATATTAGTGACGCTGTATTTGTTCAATGGCAGCTGAATTATTGTAATAAACTTAAGAATACACCTACAAGTTATGATAGATATTTATGAATGATTTATACAATACAATAACAACAACAGCAACCAAATAAGAGAGAGAGAGAAATGATTAATCTCTTCATTTTTATACAAATTCATTATTCCCTAAAGACTAGTTAGTTTGATATTGGTGTGTGTGTGTTATTTTGTTTAGAAAAAATATATTACGAATATCATATGCGAAAAGATTATGAGATAAAGAATAAAAAAAGGATTGAATTTTGATCAGATTTAATCTATTCCGGTCATGAATTACATTCATATATGTGTGCGTGTATATATATGTGCCAGTGCATTGTATACACACATTGATGAATTACACTTTTAACGTCAACAAATGTAAGTATTATATACGAATGCCCAACCATCGACTATTTCGACAAGCGATATTTTGTGGTGTAGGAGTAGGTTGGAAGAAAGCTAGGGCCGGTCTAATGCGTGAATTCACTGACAAAAGTACTGAGCCGTGTTGGTAGATGGAGACTAATTGGTTAGGGTCCGCGAGACGAAAGTCACCAATGGTTAGAGACCTTGAACGCGACATGGCTCAGAATCGTTTGCAATGGCGCAGCTGTATCCACTCTTTGTGTTCTCTCAAATTCTAACCTTCTGAATTACTTATCATCTCTGTTTTTCTCTTTCTAAAGTTATCTCGCTGAACTATACTTCTTGAATAATATCTCCGCTCCCTAATCTTCTCCATTACTGCTAATACTTCAACTATCGCTATCACTCGTGGATTTGAACTGACAGTTGCGTTTCTGTGTTGATGTGGTATGGCAAGCTGAACTGATGTACTTACGTACGAAGTTCTGCGTTGTATCTGTCTCTCTGTCTTTTCATTCTCTCAGTAAACATTGATTTAGTTTGGCTTTCGTTTTCAATAGTCTTTTTCAGCGATTCTTTAGGGGTGTGGACAAGATTAATTTTATTCCAGTCTGCTTGTTTTCGATCTCCATAACAAGATAATTACCTTTGAAAGATTGCTAATGAGTATGTTTGTTGTTAAGACAGTGTGCTGAATGAATTAATTGATTTCCGAAAAATACTTACTCTATTTCTCGACTTCTAATCAAAAAATCAAGATATTTTAGTTTGCAGTCCACAAAGTAGGGCGTTTTGCGTAGCTCAGTGCTATCCGATATATAGTTAACTTGTTCAAACAAATAGTTTATTTTTATTGCATTTGACTGTAAAAATATTGTCTAATTACCGTGACCAATTTTTAAATGAAAACACAGTTTATAGTGAGATTAGTTTATAAAGTATACATAAATTTCACTAGAATTGCAGAAACTGGTCAACCCATTGCTCTGCCTTTTTGTAGAACATAAGTCTTAAATAAATGAACAAAATGGATTTGTCATTATAGTAGGATATATATATATATATATATATATATATATATATATATATTTGAGAAGTGAACGACTGACTGTTAAGGTTATTTGGTAATATACACTAATTGACCACTTACTAATTACCAATGTTATGTTGTATAATCTTTTACAGCTGATCAAACATTATCCATTGGGATGTTAGGTTGAATGACTTTAGATTGACATGCTAGTTACAGAACTTCATGTTTGTCAGTAATCTTTAGTGACATGTATATACAATCTTAGTAGAAACACTGTTCTTCGTGGGATTCAAACTTTCGCCTATGAAATTAGGTTTAGGCGAATCCGTGACAATATGTATTGACTAAACTAAAAACCTAGTTGTTAGGCTTTTCAGTAATTTTTGCAGATCACATCACCACCGTTAGTTTGAAAAATGGTTAGTTCAACTTTCTTCACTATGCAAAATAAAAGATTAAATATTTTAAATTTTATGTAATCAACGAACGATATTCCGTTATTTAAACACGAAATTAATAACTTCATAGACATTTAAAGTTCATTTGATTTTATTATTCATTATTATTTACAAACTTATTATGATGCAATGAAATAATATTTGAACGAATAATAAAAATATAAGTTCTTTTCATTTATAATCATCATTATTCAATTTATTTATTTATATAAACGCTGATAAAAGAAAAAACTGATTCATCAATTAAATTTTTTATTATTTTATTATTTAAAAATGATTATTCATTAAATTATTTTAAAATATTTGAACAATGAAATTTCAATCTTCTCAGGTCATATTAAATAATTAAATGTAAGTTTTCAAATCAAAAAATATTATATTTTCATCACACGAAATGTTACAGATAATTTTGATAGAATTGGGGGGTTATTTTTTATTTAAATTTGACTTAATGAAAAAGGGGAATAAGCTCAAAAATAACTCTTCTTTTTTCATAAATCTGTAACAAATAAAATTTATTATTTTGATTGAATATAAAACGATATTCTTGGAAAACAAAAAAGTAGATTTTAAACCTCAATCATTGAATTAATTAATTAACTGCATTAGTCTTTCATAACATATTTCATGCGTAACCGATCTCATTCAGTCTACTGATGTAATATATTGTATCTTCTGCAATATTCTCTGTGTAATTGGCGGAAAACATGCATTAATAAATGTATTCAAAATAGATCATTCAGTCAGTCAGTTGGTCAGTTACAAAGTGGAACTTTGAACGTATGTAAGTCAATTCAAGTTGCCGTACCATATTAACACACAGACGCAGTTTGTCAATTCAAATCCAATAATAGTAGGGGTAGTAAAAGTTTTAGAAGTAATCAAATAGATTAGAGATCGAATATATCATTCGAGATGTATACCGCAGAGGAATCGATTAAAAAAATAGAAAAATAATGGTTATGAGGAATTCAGAATATTAGGATTTGAGAGAACACAAGGAATGGATGTACCTGAGCTATTGCAGATGATTTTGAGCTATATCATTCAAAGCATCTAACCATCGGTTACTGTCGTCTCGCGGACCACAACCACGTAGCCTACATCTACCAACATGACTCAGTCCACCTGTCAGTGACTTCATGGATTTGTGCCATGTTTTGGTTTGGCCGCCGCTAGCTTACGTCCAACCTACTCCTTTACCAAAAAGTACCGCTCATCGAAGTAGTCGGCGGTTAGGCACATATCCCAACCACCTCAACTGATGAAGTTTCACTACTTCATCTGTTGATTTGCCATCCCTACCTAGTACTTGTTCCCTAACAACAGCATTGCATGCTCGGTTGTCCCAGGATATACGAGCAATGTTTTGAGAAACCTATGATTGAAGACAAGCAATCCACGAGTGTCTTCTACTCTCACCGGCCATGTTTCGCATCCGTATAGTTGGACGGAGCGAACTACTGCGCAGCAGACTCTTCCTTTGGTTAGCAGACTGATATCTCCCCGACGTTAAAGGTGACGCAACTTGGCAAAAGCCAATCGAGCTTTCTGTATCCGTGCTGAAATTTCTGCAGACACCAAGCCGTCTGGACGGATGGAACTTCCGAGATAAATAAAGCTGTCTACACGCCTAACTAGCTCACTCCCTATCACTAGTTCAGGTGCCGATACAACCCGATTTCGCATTTTGAGGGGGAGAACATGCACGCGCGATCAGTAAATTAACCAATTAAGAACGACTTCATCGAGGAACTCCAACGGTAGAATAGGAACAATGACTTGTGTACATATTACGAATATTTAGACACTAGTTTATATCTATTGTAAATGTTTATTTTCTTAATTTCGAAATAACATCATCAGCAAACTTATAAAATACAAACAAACACGAGCATAGATGAGAAATAATATAAGTTCTGTAAATATTCATAGATTTAATTCAAAACAATCTGAATGAAACTCACTGTATAAATATATCAATAAAAATTAATATATATTATAACATGAAAATTCAGATGTACTCAATTTAAGAAGTCAGTAATTTAAATATCAAACTTAATTTTAACTGGTATTCAATATCACCGGTTTATTTTTACTACTTTGAAAACATTTTCCCTAAATAATTCTACAAACCGTTTACTAATAATAATAATAATAAAAAACGCCGAAAATAGTTGTATTAATTACTAGTATCATGTTCATTAGGGGAATCTACAATCCACAGGCGTAACACTTTATAAAACTGTGATAGAGAACTTCTGAGTAGTTCTAAAAAGTAGTAATATACCTAAGTGTGTATTGTTTTCGAGTTCGCAATAGTTCTTCAGATAACATTGCTTCTTGTCATTATAGGGTTGTGGAGATTGCTGACTTTCATTAAAATCATGAATCGATCCACATTGCAGCATGACTTCATGACACATTATTTCTAAACAAAAATTGATTTCCACATCGTTGTGACGCCACTGAACTCAAGAAAAAAAGATTTCAATTATCTTTGGTAATAATTTGTACGTAAGCCAGTTTTCATTTTATTCATATATTTTTCCCTACATATTTTTTTTTCTAATTAAAAACTGTTTCCCTATACAATTAAAATGATCATTCCATTTTCACCAATCAGAATTCACTTAATTTGATTTAAACAAACAAATCAGTAATTAAAATATTGAAAACTTGTTACATTTGCCTCTCGCATTGGTTTCAATTAAGCTGTAATTTTTTTATTTCTGACTGTTTATAATTTGTTAAATTTTATTTTTATTAAATTTTAACCAAAATTACATGGCATAGATTCGGCGCCATTTAAAAAAAAAGACTATGAGTATCTGTTTTGTTTTATTCATCTTTATTCAATATTTGCATGTAACAATTACATTGAACAATATAGTTTTAAATGACAGTGAAATTATTATTAATAATGCAAAAAACAATCATAGTCAAAAGATTAGTTTGAAAAAACAAAAAACTCTGAATCATCATGATATGAACAATGATGATGCTCACAATAGCTACGAGAATATCATTGATAATGGCAATATTATCACATTAATTGATGGAAAACGTTTAACTGGTTTAAATCTATATCTGCCATCGTCTAATTTGAATCCAGTGATAGTTTATTATGGTGTACGATATGCATCACTCGGTGTACCACCACATACTCATCATGATCATGATCAATTATTATCTAAAACGACTACTACTACTACAACAACCAGTACTAATTATAGCAGTACATTTAAATCCAATAATGATAATATAAAAATGCCTGCAATGCATCGTTTTAGTCATTCAGTGGCATCATTTTTCTATGAATCTCCAATTGGTGTTTATTCACACAGTGTACTTCCACCAGTCTGTCCACAACCATCATTACATATTGATTTAAAAGATAAGAATATACCGAAACAGGTGAAAGATCGATTAATTCGGTTGTTACCATTTTTAAGAAATCAAGATGAAGATTGTTTAACATTGAATATTTATGTACCACAATCTGGTGAGTGAGTATTCATATTATTTTATTTGGGCATTTTGAAAATTTTCAATTACTTTAACTTTCTTGTTTGATTTTTTTAATTCACTTGTAGTCGACTTCTTTAACATTTGATTTAATCTATTTTAAATAGGTTAGTTTAATAATTCATTTTGTTCAATGAATGTTGAATAAAATTTGTACAATTCACCTTCGAAACGTAATAAATTGATTAATCCAAGATTGAAGAAGAATAAATAGGTTGACTAAGAGTAACTCATTTATCAACCGATTTCAGTTCTATTCAAACAAAATCTTATAAACGGTACTATAAACCAAACTGATTTCGTACATTGTAAATTTTGATTAATTGATTAGCTTACTACTATACAAGTCATGAAAAAACTGTTTCACATAAACGTATATATATATTTGTATATCGAATGAAACAGTTCATTGATAAAAGTCGACTGACATCCATCTTACAAACACAATTTACTTCGGAATCATTATTCAATGTACACGTGTTTTGTTTTAATCGATATCTCTCAATGATGTTTCTACTGTTCATTTAAATTACGATTTCATTGGTTGAATACCAAATTTTAACACACTAATTCAAAGTCATTTATATTAAATACCTTAGCCTTCAATCATTAAAAGAATAAGCTCATATAAAACGGATAATTGTTTTATCCTAATTTCGAAACGATTATCTAAAAGTCACCAGCTTCTAAACTACTGATTCAAGTTTGAATCTTGTGGATATCATCAGAATTTTCAAGACTGAACTAATATGTTACTTGTGAGTAATAGTTTGGCATTTTAACGCATAACATTGAAAGTTTTTCATTTGTAGTGTGTCGATTTACTGCTTGTTCTTAAGCTCGGTAATTAACTCGTTCAGACAATCGTTGCCAAATAGCGTCTGATCGTTTATAAATCAGAAGATGAATTTGTAGTGATGAATACGTTTATTCAGAACACACCACAAAGCGGAGTGGAGAAGCAATGAATAAAACGAAGGAAGCGAATGGATAGGCGAAGCGCGTTGGAGAAGGCAAAGAGCCAACTCAAAGATATAGAACATGATTAAGAATATATAGTCAGACAAAAATAAGGCAGACATATGACAAGCGAAATAGGCGTGCACACACATGAATAAAAGCGACGAATGATTGACAAGGTCAAATGACAAGTGGAACATGTCATGAGAGCTCATACAAACCAGACAATAATATAAGATGCATTACGGGGTTGTGAAGAACGAATGGTACATATAAATTGTTGCAATACAAATGGCTTGGTTAAATAAATTAATCGAAAGGGCTTAACCAAATTTAATGTAAGCGAACTGGAATGAATATATGTGGAGGCACTACACTTCCAAATTACATTGTATTTATTCTGTGCTCAAAAACATTGAATAGTTATTATTGAAAGTATGTTTTTATTCTTTCTGCTTGACTGTTTTATCAAATAAACTCAAGTAATTCACTTAAAAATTATAGTCTTGTGAGAGTATTAGAGTATTTTCCTGACGTCTCTTACTTGATGTTACATATAGAATAGTGTTTAATTATAATTTTTTTATCAGTCAACTATCTGATTACTACATAATGTAAGTGTCCATGTACTATTGAAAAAACGCAACTATAAGATTAAATTGTCATTGAGATTTAGTTATCTTGATTGATTTCATAAAACTTGATGCGACGAGTTTTTTTATCAATTCAAGATACAATATTTATTTTATTCAATAAATTCAAATTTCACTCAGATAAGCACACTCAGTGACTGACTAACCGGAAAGTAGTGTCTGAATTTTGAAGTAAGCTCAAATAGAAATTTTTTTATTCATAAAAATTCTGTCATCATATACCGATTTTCATTTCAAATTACATTGTACAAATATAATCACATTTAGATAACCAATTGGTAAATATAATTAATAGTACTGAGAATTTGACTATCATACTTTGAATCTTGAAAGTTAGATTATGCTGAATATAAAGAATAACAAATCATTACTGTTTGGCGCCAATCTTTCATTTTTGATGTCGTTGAAATTAATTTCAACTGAGTTTAATTTTTTTTCCATTGTATTATTGATATTTTGATGTCGGAATATGAAGCTAAATCAAGATTTTACAAAGATTATTGTTTTTTAATGCATAATAAGTAAATAATTAAAAAAAAATTATTACATGTACTCAAAATCTCATGTTAAATTAAAATGTTTCTAAGAATAACTACATACTATATGAAAGTTATAAAACACAACGATGACCAAAGTCCCATTGCCTGGTGAATAGGGTTTAAACAAATAATGTCTAGCCATTGGAATGATAATTGTATTTTTTTTTAAAAAAAAGTGAACTGCTTCTTTGAAAAAAATTACACTATTTCACAAAATATGTTGATCACGAACTGGTCAGACAAACTTTCAACCATTAGTACATGTACGCAAAATATGATAAATCTCATGTGAAATTAAAGTTTTTCTGAGAGCTGCATATCTTATGAAGGATGAATAATAGAATAAATACAGTGTAATTTGTAAATAAAAAATTTCCATAATAAAAAGCTAAACTATTACTCAAAAATAACATATTAGTTCAGTCTTGAAAATCTAGATGGTATCCACAAAATTGAATCTTGAGTTATTAAAAACAGTAGTTGCATCCACATAAAAATAATCAAGATAACTAAATCTCAATGACAATTTAAATCTTATAGTTGCGTTTTTTAAATAGTACATGGACACTTACATTATGTAATAATCAGATAGTTGACGATAAAAAAATTATAATTAAACACTATTCTATAAGTAACATCAAGTAAGAGACATTGGAAAAGTCTAATACTTTAACAAGATATAATTTTAAGTAAACTTTCAATGAATCACTTAAGTTTAGTTGATAAAACAGTCAAGCAGAAAGAATAAAAACATACTTTCAATAATAACTATTCAATGTTTTTGAGCACAGAATAAATACAATGTAATTTGTAAATGAAAAATTTCCAATATTATGCGTTAAAAAGACTAAACTTTTACTCAGAAATAACGTATTAGTTCAATCTTGAAAATTCTGATGGTATCCACAAGATTCAAACTTGAATCAGTAGTTTAGTAGCTGGTGACTTTTAGATAATCGTTTCGAAATCAGGACAAAACAACTATCCATTTTATATAATTGCTTCCTTAAGAAAAAATTACACTTTTTGCACAAACTATCTTAATCGTTAAACTTGTCAGAGAAGCGTTGAAAATTTAACAAATCCATGAATTTGAAATCATCAATCAATCATTGTTAGAACAAACTTAGAAACCTGCAAGCACTGGACGGCTGTTTCGTCCTGGTATGTGGTTCATCAGCAGTGCGCACCCACCACTCCTGCACCTCACAGGATTCGAACCCAGGACCTTCGGTATTGTGCGCGAATGCCTAAAAATCGGACCACTGGGCCGGCGTCCAACGGTGTTAATGTCTAACTCTGATTGATCTAGGGTCCAGTGCTTCCAGGTTTCTATTGGTGGTGGTCTAAAAATGATTGACTGATGATTTTAAATGTGTAAAAACACAAAACCTCCAAAACTCTGCCCGCAAAATTCATGAATTTCATGCATTTTTTTTTAATTTTTAAAGTTGTTTAATTTTTCGTTTGTTTGTTTTGCATTTACAAACAACACATAATGATTGTAATTTAGATAAAAAACAAAAGCCTAACAGAAAACGTCCAGTTTTTCTATTTATTCATGGTGAATCATATGAATATGGAAGTGGCTATGCATATGATTTATCTGTATTGGTTAGTTATAGTGATACAATTGGCATTACATTGAATTATCGATTAGGATTATTAGGTAAGCTTACAATTCTGTGAAGTAAATGTGCTCTGTTATTTTTTTAATGCTAAAAACATTTCTGATATTATTCTTTTTTTTATCAATGTATTTTTTAAACAAATTCACACGTGATATTCTCACAGGCTTCGAATGGATGCGCGCTGCTGATGAGTCGCATACCAGGACAAAACGACCGTCCAGTGTTTCCAGGTACCTAATGCTGGTCTAACATTGATCGATTCATCATTTCAAATGTGTAACTTAACAATATTTACAACCCCGTAATGCAATTTACCTGTGCTTACTAATGATTAGCTTTGTGAGGAATCTTATCCGAGTTGTAGTGGGAAGTCGTGACCAGTCAAGTTGAACCTGTTCGGATGTAGACAGCAACTACCGAAGACAGTGAATGAGGTTGTGCAAGACTGTGGATTGATCGAAGTTAAACATTGACACCGTTTGATGCCGGCTCATTGGTCCAGAGGTTAGGCGTTCGCGCTCAAGACCGTAGGTTCTGGGATCGAATCCTGCGGGGTGCAGGAGTCGTGGATACACACTGCCGGTGAGTCTCAAACCAGGACGAAACGGCCATCCAGTGCTTCCAGGTTTCTAATGATGGTCTAACATTGATCGATTGATGATTTCAAACATGATATTCTGTCGACTTGATTTCAAAGAAAGAGTATCCAGCAGTTTATAGAGTAAATGAGATCTGAACAGGTTATAATGTTTCATTATACTACGTGTGAAATTGAAATCATAACTACCTTTTCACAACTAATGGCATTTGTTCTATGATTTTCATGGAGTTATGAAACACTAAAAGATTATATGAACAGAATTTGGGTCATATATAATGAATGAGCATGAAAGCAAATACCTTATTTCAACAGCATTTAAAGTTATTCAATGGCACGATCGAGAAGGGAAAGAGTTCACTATCCTTCTCCGAACGCTCTCGTATGCCAGTCAGTGTACAGCTACTGACAGAGAAGTTCTACTCACTGCCTGCTTGCACTAGGAATGTTGTTTACGGAATCGAGTGGATGAAAAGCAAATATTTGGTCCCTAAACCAGATTGATGGGTGTAGAGGATGAACCTAGGGGAGTTGGAAAACCACGATTCCAAACAACGATGTGCATGATCTCCACGTTCCTAAAAGAATAAATGGCATATGAAACAGCCGTCGGTCATCAGCTAACATGCGACTAAATCTCCTTACATAGCCCTAATACCTTACGAATTAGGCCTCTAGGCCAAATGCTTAGAAAGTAGCGTCCTAAAAAAAACACTCGCTTCAGTTTGGGCGCTTGATCAGTATCGTAACCCACATACATATGCATTAATTTATGTTTCGCATAAATATTTAGGTGCTTCTTTGTGATTAGAAGAATTGTTATGTTTATAACTGATAAACCCAAACCAGTTTGAAGCTTAATGGTGAATAAATGGTGTCAATTTCAATCATGCTTTCATCAAGAAGTTGGGCAAAATGAACTAAATAATCTCAGTATGGAAGTTCAATTAGATGATACATTGCTGTTTGCTTCATTCAGTAGAATTTTTAGACAATTCTGTGAAAGTGACAGTTCGTGCTATAACTGTATTTTCTTTAAAAATCAAACAAATGTACAAAAAAATGTTTATTTCAAGTCTAGAGACATTTAGTAATCAAATATTCATACATTAAAACAAAGTGATTAAATATTTGAACATTTATCTAGTCGAATTTCGTTTATTTTATTTTAATCCTTATTTTTTTTTCTTCAAAAGGTTTTCTTTTCACCAATAATCATGCAGTCAGTGGAAATTATGCACTTTATGATTTACATGCTGCTATCATGTGGATTAAAACAAACATTGCAAGTTTCAATGGTAATCCAAATGAAATCACACTGATTGGTTATGGTCATGGAGCAGCTTTATTACATTTATTTTCTTTATCAAAAATGTCTCAAGGTAATTATTAATTACATGCTTTATTTGTCAATTTCCTACAAAAATATTTCGTCTGATTCAAAATTGAAGTGTGTATTAATAATTTTTTTTAAAACGATAAATGAGGTAAATTGAATAAAACAATGTCTTATTGAAACAATGAGAAGACGTTATTGATTTGAAAAATTGGGTTGTATGTGTGCTATACACATTTCAAACAATCTGGTCACACATTCAACACTTGTCAATGTATTTTATATGAAGATTAATTGTTGGGGATGTTAGATCACCAAAATCCGCTTGATAAATGCCTTATTTTGGTTTTCACGTTTGCCAGCGTGGGTTGATCAGTTGACCTTGAGATTTCAATTCTCACCAGGAAAATCCATGGCTGTGATTGGCTGCTGTGTATTTTAGTGTGCTATTTTCTTAACTGTCCCAAGGACGTTTCTGTGATGTATAAATAAACGAGAGTTGTATGCTTGATTGTACTGTGATTGCTGGGTGTTTGTAGAATATACTTTCTACGCTTACAAAGTCTACTTACCTTACTTGAGGATTCAAGGTAGCCTACCTGGACGCTGGTAATTGTCCCGTTCACGTTTATCGACTAAGGCAAACCCCTAAAAGCCTCAAGCATACTTAGTGACGAGCCTAACATTAATAAAAGGTCAAATAAATAAAAGTTCAAATAGACATTAGATGATAATTATAAATGAAGGAGAGCGAAATTTAACATAATATAGACAGAATAAGAAAAGGTAGGAAATTGTAACATTAGCACCTAGGCCATACAATAGCTTACAGATTATTGACCAAAACGTTGAGATGGATAAAATAAATTACAAATGGTAATTGAATACTTTCAATCAAATGAAACATTCTTGTAAAATACAATAAAATAAGATCCATGATCCGTGGAGAAAAAAAAATACATCACCAAAATATCTGAAATGTGAATTAGGTGTAGGTGTATATTTGTTTGAATGTTTCAATATTTCATATTGTAATTAAAACCAAACTGCGGGTGATACGAATAAACTGAAGTATATGTTTTCATGAGTAGCGAATAAATCAATAAACAGCTAATAGATACAAATATCAGAAATAAGCACAGAAATATTCCGCATTGAATTTTTTTTTGTGTCAATTAAGTTTTCACACTTGAAATTACAACACAGTAAGTATTCATCTCTTTTCTTATTAATTATTATAGGTACAACTAGTACTGGAATTAAACGTATCATACTACTTAATGGATCTGGATTCGCACCATGGTCAACATCACATCAAACATTATCAATTTTAACCGAATTATTAAAACACTTGAATATAACTGAACAAAATTTAAAAAATGCCACTTCCCTAAATGAAATTAAACATCAACAACATCATAACACTGACTATTTAAAAAGACATAAATCATTGTTTGCACAAACTGATTATTCAAATTCATTGGAAACATTGAATGATTCAAAGGTTACTAATAATGTTGTTAATTTAACAAGAAATAATATGCCATTACAATTAATGAAGCAATTAGTTTTGATTTTGAAAAATTCCACTGTTACATTTTTAATGAATTTACAAGAAAAATTAACTCAATCATTTATAACAACACGTTTAGGACCGGTAATATCGAAATATTTATTTCCAAGCTATTTATTGAATAATAGTTTAATTAAACAAACAGAATCTGTTCATCGTTATCGTAAAGAGCGACAACAACATCAATGGTATGAAAAAAAGTATTCACATATTTTCGGTAAATCCAATGAATTGAATGGTCGAATGTTAGCTCATCATGTAGAGACAAGTTTATTTATGAATGTTGATTTATTGATTGGATGGACTGAAGCACCAGCATCTAGCTTATACTACTCACATGCTAATCTACATAAAATGCCTTACAATTTAGTGATACAACAATTGGTCAATGAAATATATCCTTATAATCAAGATGTAATTAAAGAAATTATTGAATATGCTTATTGTTATTCTGGGAAATTTCATTTTGATGACAATAAGAATGATAATGATGTTAGTGATAATTCAGAAAAACAATTCAAGGAGATTGACTGTAATTGGGTAAGTGTTTGATAATAAAAGTATATTTGTTCATTGTGGTGATGTTTGGTTCTCTGAGCTGGATGTTTTGGTTGTGGAGCTTTCATTGTTCTTCTTCTGAACAACATCATCAGCACAAACTTCAGATAGAAGTGAAGCATTCGAATTTCTCCATGTTTGACCTGTAGCTTGTTCTGTTAACCTCGATCTTGATTGGTTGTTGTTGATCTTAAACCTGTCGTTGTTTGCACCTTTGTTTTGATTGTATCCCTCTTTTTTGATCTGATTCTTGATCCTATGTCACCCATGATTTTTCTGATTGGTTGATAAATTAGGTCAATGTCGATGTGTTTGTTGATTGCTGACTGACCTAGGTGCCAAGCTTCTGAAAATCATATAGTGTTCTTTGTCCTCCCAGTATTTCCACATTGTCCCAATCGGATGTATGTACATAATTGTCGGTGTGTATTGATATCAGCGAAAAATTGTCGTGACGTTTGACTGCTAACGAAGCTGAAGAAGCCGTCTACTTTGTCCTATGTAGTGTTTTTCACAATCTGAGCAATTTATTTTGTAGATGATATTTGGTTTTTATTCCTTTGTCATTTTGTCCAACGTAGATTCCATTGGAACAACTTATATACAGTTATTAAGGGTGATAAAATGTTCATTAACAATGATGTATATTTCTTTGCCACTTTATAAGTTCGTGAAATCTGCCTATTCTACTCGGGTACATTGAATATCAGAAAGTTAAATAAGAAGTTACATGTAAGCGGATTTTGACACATTTATCGAATCAATGTCGCTTTACATAACTAATGTTAAACGTACAAATACAAGGTGTTTGTTATGAGTTATTATTGTCAATCTAAGAGGTATCCATAAAGAAAACTTATATAGAATTTTCATAGCGAGAGTAATTTGATTTTCAGTATACAAAACTGATAATAAAAGTTGAAAGTAATGTGAAAATCTTGAACATATACCAGTTTCATTCATTCATAATGATTTATTCTTAAAGTTTCAATTTCACGGAATGTTTCGGCTGTAATGGTAAATTCAGACATATTATTTCATTCTACTTGTACTTTCGACAAGTTTTATCAAAACAGGAACAATGATTTTGTTAAAATCATCAACTAATCAATGTTAAACCACTTTAAGAAACCCGGAAGCACTTGACAGTGTATAGGGTCCCGCATGCGGGAATCATGGATGCGCTCTGTGGATCAGTTCGATGCCAGAATGAAACGACCGACTAGTGCTTCCAGGTTTCTAATGGTGTTCTAATATTGATCAGTGCGTGATTTTAATGAAATTCAACAATCACCAAATCTATATACTGAAAAAAAAACAAATTTTTAAAGATTACTGTTTCTCTAAATGTATACCAACTAGTTTTACTTCCATAAGTTTATTAAAGAGTGTAATATATTAAAACTGAAGGCTTCTGAATACTATTCATTGTAAAAACAGGTTGTTTTGAGAACTGATTATATTTTGACAATCGCTGAATGTGAGAAAGTACTGGACAGTTATTTCTTTTTAGTGATGACTTGCGAAACCACCAGGTATCAAACTCAGAATTTTAAGGATTTGTAATAAACACAGAAATTTTAAAACATTGGGTTAGTATCTAATTGTCTTCATACCTAACTTCAGTCGAGTTATGTTATAGTACCAACTTTATTCACTGCTGTAAGTGATACCTGTTTTACTACTGATATAGTTGAGCTTCACCGGCTATAACTGCTCGATAGGAAGATATGCTTGGTCGCACATGGAAATTATAAGGTGAAGTCTTCATCACAGTAAAGTAAATCGTTCAAAAAATGACGGTGCTATGTGGTTTAATTTGAAGAACTTGTTATGAGGGTTGCATTACTATTTTACGATTAATATTAAATGTCTAAGGTTAGTTTATTACTTTCCACTGGATGGGTGGAACAAAATAAAGATCAATCATTTACCACATGATCAACTTTGTCGTAGTATAGACAGTGAGAAAACTCTCAATTTGAACAGAAAAGTAATCACAGTAGTTAGATCTTTAAATATGAAAAAATTAGGCTTAGAAAATTGTTCAAAGAGAATGAATCATATGTGTTACAAATATGATGTATTAGGAATATTGGAGAATAAGTGAAAAAGTCAGTCAGTCAGTCAGTTACAACGTTGAACTTCGTATGTAAGTATATCAGTTCAGGTCGCCATACCACATTTGCACACAGACGCAACTGTCAGTTCAAATCTCATAGTGATGGAGATAGTAGAAGTATTAGCACTAATGTAGAAGAGTAGGGTTCAGAGATATTATTCAAGAAGTATAGTTCAGTTATTTAACTTTAGAAAGAGAAAGATAGAGATGATAAGGAGTTCTGAAGATTAGAATTCGAGAGAACATGGCAAGTGGATACACCTGCGCCATTGCAAACGATTTTGAGCCATGTCGCGTTCAAGGTCTCTAACCATCGATTATTATCATCTCGCATACCCCAACCTGGTAGTCTACGCCTACCAATATGACTTAGTACAGTTGTCAATGACCTCATGGATTTGTGCCATGTTTTGGTTTGGCCGCCCCTAGCTTTCTTCCAACCTACTCCTACACTACAACACGTCGCTAAACTGAAAAAAGTAGTGAATAATCACGTCCGGTAATGCAGTCTGTTTCATTTCATTCTGTATATTACGAACGATTGTTTAGAAAAACAGCTCAACAATCATGATCATCAAGTTTAAATTTCCATTCAGTACCAAATGAACAATTAGTTATACCAAGCAATAATTCTATTTTTAGCATTCTCTTGCAATACTAGTCAGTATCGCCTTTGAATACAGACGACGAAGGCCAGGCGTATTTGTGACGTTTCCGGATAAATAATTAGTGAATTGAATCGTTTAAATATTAAATTTTAAATAAGTGCTTTTGATCCATTGTTTAAATTCATTTTCATGATAATTATTTGTCCTTTTCACTTTTTACGCTTCATAATTAAACGATAGAAAATTCTAGGTATATTATCCGATGGATTATACATTGTACCAATTATACAAACATTGAAAATGCATAGTGATCATAACACAAATCAAGAGATTGACAAACAACTGCAGCATCCTTCATCATCATCATCATCCTCATCATTGCCTTCACTACTATTCACAACAGATCATCCATCAACAACTCGTTCAAAAGAACAAATTAACAATAATAATAATAGTAAAAACAGAAAATCAACTTATGCATTATTTTTCAATTATAAAACAATTCAACAAATGACAACTAATAGAAATACTACTGACAAACAATTACATATGAGTAGAATTGGTTTCGGTGATGATTTACCATATTTACTCGGTGCACCATTGATCAGTCCAAATCAATTAGAACCATTCTCTAATGAATATACTGAAAGGGATAAAAAAATTTCTGTTAATTTAATGAATTATTTAACAAATTTTATGCATAACGGGTAAGTTGTAGCATGAATTAACGTATATGACTTGTACATGTACTAATTATGTGTTTGCTAAATTCTTTGTTCTACTTATGAGTGAGAGAAAATCGATAAATCGATTATTTCTAAAGAGTTAATAAACTTTCGAGATCATAAATCAATCAATGTTAGACTATCGCCAGAAACGTGAAAGCACTGAACGGCTGTTTTGGCCTTGTATGGGACTTATCGGCAGTGCGCATCCACAACCCATTAATGAAAATCCATTTTGTAGAGAAATAATAAAACTTAACATGGAAGATTCTTTTAGCTTTGTTGATAGTATTACTTCTTACTTACTCCTGTTACCCCCAATGGAGCATAGGTCGCCTACCTGCATTCTCCAATCTACTCTGTCTTGAGTCTTCGTTTCCACTCCTATCCAGTTTTTGTTCATTCTTCTCATGTCTCTCTGCATTTCTCAGTGTAATGTGCTTTTTGATCTTCCGTTTTTCTTTTGAACTTGAGGATCACAAGTGAAGGCTTGTCTCTTGACGCTATTGGGTGCTTTCCTCAATGTTTGTCCTATCCACTGATATTTTCCTCTGCTGGAAACTGGTTTGTTCTATTGGTCGAAAAAGACTGATTTCATGATATCATTAAAAATATCATCTCTATTCACTAATGTTAATTTGTTAGAAATAACAGATTTTATTTTTTGTGAAATCATAAACTAACGTATAAATAATTATAAGACAGGTGATAACAACTAGTATGGAGACATTATCCGACAAGTTACAATTAAATAGCCATATTGCTAACATAAGTATTAACATAAGTAAGCAGGGAATTTTAATAAACCCGATTAGTCTGTCATTTCGTCTAAAAACAAAAACAGACTGCTTGAATTTCCATGAGTTTATCAATTTAACTCCTACCATATAGCCATCTATTTAAGATACACAACAAAAAAGGTCTTTCATCATATTTTCGAGCAACAACCTCCTTGGCTGAGTAAATAGGAGTTCAGTGTGGTTAGGAGTCACATTTCCGCTCACTTAATTTATGGAGGACACCAAGAAGACTTGAATAAAAGTTTGTACATGATATCCTGAAGTCTATAGTATAAACTGTATGAAATATCATTAGTAACTTGTTCAACACAATTTTAATGACTTAATCGTTTGATCAAATTTTTATGATCACTTGTACAGTTGTAATTGTATTATGTAACACAATCACCTGACTATTATTATATCATTATTGTGAAACATAATAATGTAGGTTTGTGATAACAAACCAATTTAAAAATATTTCGTTGGTTTTATTCACGCATTGACAAGTATTTGAAGTATTCGAAGTTTAACTTTAGTAAAGCTGAAATATAATTTTTTTTTAAAAATACAAGAAAAAGGAATGACCAGGAGAAAAAAAATGAAATGAATAACTTCGTTTGAATCATATTTGTATATAATAGATTTCATGAAATCAAATTGTTTTTAACAATAAAAATATGTTTAAGTAATGAAACTTGTATTATTTGGATGATTTTTTTGGAGTCTGCTAAGTTTACTTATTTACTTACTTACGCCTGCTACTCTCAATGGAGCATAGGCCACCCACCAGTTTTCTCCAACCTGGGCTTCCCTTTCCAGTTCTTTCCAATTTCTGTTCATTTTTCTGATGTCCTTCTCGGCGTTATATGTTCTTTGGCATTCCTCTTTTTGTTTTAACTTAAGTGTTCCAAGTGATGGCTTGTCTTATGACGCAGTTAAGTGCTTTTCGTAGTCTGTGTCCTATCCACTTCCACCGCTTCTTTCTGATATCCTCCTCCTCTGGAATCTGATTTGTTCTCTTTCACAGTAGGTTGTTGCGGACAGTGTCTGGCCAACGAATTCAAAGTAGTCTGTTGAGTTTACAACTATATTATTGCATACGTTGTAAAAGCTAGAGCGATACATAGGAAAAAAAAGAACAGATGATTTAGTAAACGAGTATATAGTACTGGTGTTAGACAATGAAAGTAATAGACAACAGCTATTGGTATCTAAGCTTCAAATAGCGTGACAGTCAAACTAGAAAACAAATAATAGATTTTCAAGTGCATTACATAATTCTTATTATCAAAGTAGCTACTTATGTAAACCAGTTATGTTGTATAATCTCTTCATAAATACTCAATAAATGCATTTTCTAAATGTTTAACTTTACTAACTAAATGTTTAAAGTTTTTGGGGAGGTTTTTATCATCTCAAAATAACAAAATTATTATATTCTATGAGAGACTGTACTAAGAACTGAATGTTTGTTGTGGCATTGTTTTGGAGAAATCAGATGAAAATATAATGCAAGCGCACAAATAATATTTGAATATACATAGTAGTTGAGGTCATTTTCTTGACTGGTTAGACGAGTTCACTGTGAATGTGTTTTATTTTAGAAACACTGGATCATATTACTTTTTGATGTAATATGATATATTATTGAGTTATTTTTTCTGGTTAGTGTATTTTAAGAGAGTTTTCTATGGGATGGGGTCGCTCACCCCATGCCCAACCCTCCTCCTTTATGCAGGCTTGGGACCGGCATTTGTCCCAGAGGGCCTGCAGGCGAAGATACCTTAAAGGACGTAACAAACTTTAAATATCTGGGAAGTATCCTAGACGAGCAGCGTGGGTCTGATGCAGGTGTGAAGATGAGGATCAGTAAAGCAAGTGAACAACATCTGGAACTCCAAACAACTATCGATCCACGCCAAAATCAGAATTTTCAATAGAAATGTCGAGACAATTCTACTGTATGGAGTGGAAACTTTGAAAATAACTAAATACATCATCCAGAATATACAAGTATTCATTAACAGTTGTCTATGCAAAATACTTCGGGACGCGTTGGTCAGACACTATCAGCAACAACCTACTGCGGGAGATGACAAACTAAATTCCAGCTGAGGAAGATAGTCAGTAAGAAGCGCGAGAAGTGGATAGAACACGTATTGTGGGAAGCATTCCAACTGCGTCACAAGACAAGCATTCACTTATGATTCTCAAGGTCAAATGAAAAGAGAAAGGCCAAGGAACACATTACAGCTAGAGAATGGAAACAGACATGAGAAGAATGAACAAAAATTGGACTGAACGATAAAGGGAGGACCGAAGAAAGAGGTAGGTTCGGAGAATGCATTGTATGGCGGCCTATGTTTCAATCAGGGTAACAGGTTACGTAAGTAAGTAAGTAATATGTCACTGAACTCAAAAACAATATAATATATCTATATTATAAATCCTAGCACCCAATTAAGATCTGGTGTATACTACTTGCAGTGTACAACATGTAATGCTTCGTATTTCTCTTAGTTTTGCTGTACTTGTTGTACTTACATGAATGATCAATCATCTATTTGTAGTATTTTCCTGTTACAATAATATTTTTAATAATTGACCGCTATCAACAGTAATCTAATCTAATTTTAATCTCATTACATTCAACTATCTTTTTTCTCTTATTTATCGTTTAGTGATCCAAACAAAGAATTTATTGGTTATAGAAATAAAAAGACACCAGTTCATTGGCCGGAATACACTTATGATTCGAAGAATTATTTATATGTTGGTAAGAAATACATTCATATAAAATCTATCTGTCAATCAGTTTATGATAAATGTATTAGATTTTGTAGTGAAAATATTATCATCTTCAAATTGATCGCTTTATTTCAGATATTTACTGGGCTGATATTTAATCAACGTGACACTTGTCTAAAATTATGTAATTATATATTCTCAGTGTAAATTAACAACTTAAGAATTTTTTACACATTGAATTCATGAATCAATCATTGTTAAACCACCATTCAAAACCTGAAAGCAGTGGACGGCCGTCTCGTCCTGGTATGGGACTCATCAGCATTGCGCATCCGCGACTTCTTCTACTCGTGCATGTGCACTACTGATGAGTCCCATACTAGGAACAAACGGCCGTCCACTGCTTTCAGGTTTTTAATGGTGGTCTAACATTGAGTGATTCATAATTTCCATCTATGGAATGTAGCTAACTTAAATTTACCCAAATAACACTATTTCACAGCTGTTATGACTAGTAATAATAGTAACAATAATATTAATAAAAATAATAATACTAAATGTAGCTAATAATGAAATTGCAACTCAAGTGATTATAATTGGCACATTATTGATGTTCTTGTTTTAAAATAGGTGATGATTCTCGAAACAAACAATCAATGCATCCAATCAAAAACCAAATTCGTAATCTATGGGGAAATAAAGAAAATGAACAAGATTTATTTACAATTAAACAACTTTATGAAACTGATAAACATAAACTATGGTCTACATTATTTCCAAGTTTAACATTCATGAATAAAAAACCAAAACAGTACAGTAAATTGAATCAGAATGAAAAGATTATTGAAAAGTATCCTAGTAAACAACGATCGTTTAATAACTATTTTTATTTTCTACAATTAAACGAAACCGATTGGTGGTGGTCAAATGGACAAATGAACAAAATGCAAACTATGTCAAATTTATTTCTAAATAATAATAATAATAATAATAATCAAAATATAGAAAATTTATTAAATATTGTAGACAATAGTAAATTGTTTGAAACAGAAATGTTCATGTCAAATATATCATCATCTACTGGGAATTTTAGTCAATTACCATTATATAGAGAAAATGTAAGTTATATTTATTGTAATGTAGTATTCATTAGATGTAAGTAGTATTTTATTCTGTCTTGTAAAATACTGATTGATATATTTCCTTGTAGACTTGGTTGTTGTTAATGTTGATGTATTATTCTCACTTGCCAAACTTTGACTTGTTTATTGCTCATATAAGTATTTAGACTGTTAATTATATACATATGATCGCATTAGTTTAAATGATTTTACGCTAAGTTATGAAATTTGTTATTATTATTATTATTAGTATTAGTATTATACTACACTTTTTATATTCTGAGTCTTGAGTTTGTTCACTTGTCGGGGACGGCAGATCCCCAGAATTTATTCATGGGCTGATAAGTTGATCTTGAGATTACATTTCCCACCCCTGAAAATCCTTGACTGTCATTGGTTGATGTGTTAGTTTAGTACGTTATTTTTATGGCTCTCCCAAGGATGTTTCTATGATGTATAAATAAACTCGATTTGTGTGCTTAAGGTGCTTGTAGAACACACTTTCTACGCCATATAAAGACTTCTTTCTTCAGTTAGACGGGGGCAACGGATTAGAGTAGCCTATCGTATCGCTGGATCATTTGTCTCGTTCTCGTTTGTCAACTAAGGTGAACTCGTAATAATTTCAAGCAAACCAGTTGACGAGCATAACCTTACTATCATTGGTACTACTGATATTTTGATCTCTTTGATTTATCTAAGGTTATATGATAACTTGAACAGATAGATGAATGATTGAATCAGATCTTGTATCGCTTATAATGAACTGATTGATTTATTCTACTCACTGGTCAAATTCTCTGATCATCTATAATGTACTGATGCTTATGAGCTTGTATGTTCACTGCATCTTGTTTGTTATGATAAAAATTTCGAAGCATAGTTCATTGGATTCATTCATCAATAAGAAACAAACATTTGTTTTAGTTGCATGAGCATTGCTGAAAATTCATTGAACTGAACAAGCTATTCTCACAATATAAACTCTTTTCGAAAAAATATTCTCTTATAATGAACATTATTTTAAACCATTTTATCTGATCTCTTACTGTTAATGTTTCATTCTAATAAAAATACGTAAACTATGGAGGATGGACGACAACATGACTGCTATTGATTGGTTGTATACATTTTCTTTTATTTGATTACGTTAAATGATTATGCCACGCTTACTTTTATTAAATGCAAATTCATTTCTAACTATCAAATTACAATATGACCATTCGTCAAAATAGTTTGACGTTAAGGTAGACTTTGTATGGTTTCGGTTGAATTTAGCCAAACAATAAGAAGCGCCAAATTTAAATTTTGTGCTGATTAACATTTTAATTTAAATAAAACTATTGATTGCTTTCAACATTTCACAGTTAATAAATTAATGTAGAATGTGACAGATTTACAGATATCTGTTATGAATAATTGAAATAAAAATTTCAACTGTATGAAATGTAATTTGTGACGATATATTTTTTTCGGATCATTTTTTTCAAATCACCATATAGGATATTGAACAGAATTCAAATAGACTCATACAAACATCAGCTGAAACTAATGAATTATTAATGAATTTCAATTTATCAAATAAATCACATTCCATTGATGAGACTAACACAAAGATTCAATCGTATTCACAATCATTAACCACATCGAAACAACCAATATATTCTCATTTAACTTTAATCTGGATTATAATGGCTGGATCAATGTTATTTTTACTCAACACGTTAATATTTATAGCAATCTATTATCAAACACATCAATTGAGGAAAAACAATCTATATCAACAATCTAAATCCAGTAGAAACAAATCTACAATCATTCAAGGAACAGAACCAATTTCAAGAATCAAGCGAAAACCTATATCTAATTTCCGCGCATCAAATAAAAATCAATCGTGGCAAACAGATCATATGGATGGAGGTATGGTTCTTTTTTTTTTTTATAAAAGCACGATAAATATATTTTATAGTGAAGATTTTTCTCTTTTGTGAACCAATTTTCCATTAACGCAAATTTATATCTAGGTTAACACAAATGTAAATGTATAATCACTGATGACACTAATTTAGACCTTTAGTGTAGTGATGTGAAAAATCTTCCACTTACCCCATGAATTGTACAAACTACTAAGTGTTCATTGGTTGAAAGGATAACTGACTAATCAGTGCTTGAAATTTTGTCAACTAACTGTTCATTATTGAAAGGTTGTATGAAATACGACGATTGGTGTGCTCAAATATTCACTACATAGAAAATTGCCGCTAGGAAAGTTTGAATTTCAAAATTTAGGTGGAATAATTCACAGGGATAAAAAAATTTGTTCAATATTTATTGATCATTTTTAGAACTATTTCCATTTAACCGATAAATTAACGCAACTTATCGACTATGAATTAAGAGTTTATAACATTAAATTTATAGCTATATTTATTGAAATTTACTTCCTGACTGGAAAAGTTCATTAAATTGGAAACCAAATAAATAGATAACATTTTGACATTGAATATAAAATCTCAGTGAAAACACCAACACTTCCTTATTTAGAAGTACATTTAGAAATTTAAGGCCTAGTAGACTGAGTTTTATTCCTTGTATCTTACTACTGACTAATACTATGTGACAATATCAAATGTAGAATGTTTGTCTACTGTTGCCAATTTCTAGAACTTTCCGTAATACTATCGAACAGAGAGTTTAGGTGTAACAACTGTAGTTGAAATAAATAATTATCCAGAAGATATAGTAAGTCCTATAAGGAGAGTAAAATGCACACACAATGAACAGTAGTGGTGTGAGTAATCAAATGGATAATTGGAAGATAAAGTCTCATTTATCAGAAGCGTATACTTTCTTCTAATCGTTGATGAAACGGTGGATGATCACTTTAAATAAACGTCAACTGATATGCTCGCCAACTGATATACTTGAATACTATTACTAGTTCACCTTACTCGGTAAACGGAACGAAGGCCAACGATACAGTGACACGATAGGCTATTCTAATACGTTGTCTCAGGCACTGATAACAAAAGCAAGAAGTCTTGATAAGGTATAGAGAATGTATTTTACAAGCACCCAGAAAATACGAGGTTCGCAAGCACACAAATCATGCTTATTTATACAATGAGAGAAACGTCCTTGGAAGAGTCACACAATAGCGTACTAAAAAATCAGTCAACCAATGATAGCCAACGATTTTCCGGGTGAGAAATGTGATCTCAAGGTCAACTAAGCGTCTCTTGGCGCGAAAACATGAGGATTCAACATTTCAGAAATAAATTACAAAATCGGGACCTTTTCTAAGTGAGTTCTGGGGATCTAACGTCACCAACATCAACTCGCTGAGTTTGTCAAATGTCAATTTTTTTCCAATGTTAGTCTTTCGCTTAAACTACCAGTAAGTATGAATCATGTACACTCGTATGGATTTGTTCAGAGATCATGCATAGGCTGAAAATAGTCGTCATTAAGAATCGGATAACTATTGAAAATCAAATGATACGGAACAATTGTTTTGCCGCAGTTTAAGATTAGTCAACACAGTGCATCCATAGTACCACTGTATCATATGAAAAAGTCAAGGGTAAGAGAGAGAGAAGACAGTTTGTTTACGAAATCTGTACTAGTGAATAGCTTCGTGAGGTATCTCCTCCGAACTCTAGTGGGAAGTCGTGACCAGTGAAGTTCAACCTGTTCGGGTGTAGACAGTAACTACCGAAAACTGTGTATGAAGTTGCGCAACTCCGTGAACCTCGCAACTCGAAAAATGTGTACATAGTCTTTAATCATCTATTAGTTATCCAATTAAATTATTGACTGTCTGTCTTCACTCACCCTTCTGGTTTTCAAAATGCTTTGATTACGCTTTACATTTCAATCGCCTGGCACCTATCTATGGCAACAACCTCTAGATGACACTCTGCTGCATACTACTTATAAGCCACTTTGTAAGTAACATCCAACCATACACTAATAAATTTGATAACACTGATTCTTTATGAAGTTAATATTGTATGGTCTCCATTTTTAACTTTAGTCAATTTGGTTTGATCTCTTCTCCAGTTCATTGATATCTTACTGAATTATAAGGTAAACATTTGGAATTAATCCAAAAATGGTCATTTTCACTCTATAAACGAAAAAAAACGATGTTAGAATGTTGAACATTTTAAGCACTAGGGAGAAGAAATCTCAAATCAAATTTATTTTATTGTCTAAATTTACCTTTTCACTTGCATTCTTTTTAAATTTATTATTAGACGTAATTGTATATAAAAGAAAATATAATCTATTTGTTTTTTGTGTGTGTAGACGTAAGCAATACTTTATGCAATGTAACTATATCTTCATCAAACTCTACGTCATTGGCGCCAAATTGTTATGCATTCAATGATTTATCATCTTATTCATTACACAAACCACAACATTCAACATTGAATACTACTGGTCGTAATCAGATTACTTCTATGCTGTATGAAATACCGACTGTCACATTGAATCATTACAATTCTCACCAGTGATAGATAGATAGATAATACAATAATAAATAGCAAATAATAAGCATTATGACAAACATTACATGACATGAATTCATGGAATATCGATTCACCAACACATTGATTGAACAAAAAATACACACAACAAATTCATTTGAAATAAAACACATTCAAGCGATCCAATCAAACCATACAATTGATTGTGTATTGAAGCATATATATATATATATATATACATATGACTTAACTGATTATTATTCAAATTTTATTTATGCAACAAATATTACTGTTTTATTATAATGATACTACTACCATTATTACTACTACTGATAATAATAATAATAATATTAATATTAATCAGACAACAAAAGCTTAACTTCCTATCAGTTCTTTTTGAAGTCACTTCATTATCACTGTTAATATACTGAATTCTTATTTATATAAACTTATAAATAATTTGTGGTAATAGACTATTTTGCTTTCCAGAAATAAATAATCTTTAGGTTAGAAGTGGAGAAAATTTATATATTCATTTGAGAGTTAATAATAAGATTTGAATTTTATTCAGTAGGCATAAATTATGCGTTAGGTAGTAGTTATTACAGAAAATTGTGATTTGTAAATGAAAAATAAGACTTTGTGATCAATGTGTTCAACTTTTATATCTTAAATAGCTTCCACCGATAGTGGTTCAATAGCTAGGTTTGAATCACTAAGTCTCTAATCCATTAATGTGACAAAGTCTAGTACATAGTCAGCCAGTGAGTCAGTTACAACGTTGAACTTCCTACGTACGTACATCAGTTCAGGTTGCCATACCGCATTAGCACAGAGACGCAACTGTCACTTCAAATCCAATAGTGGTAGCGATAGTAGAAGTATTGTGGTGGTGGTGTTTGGTTCTCTCAGCTGGATGTTTTGGTTGTGGGGCTTTCATTGTTCTTCTGAACAACATCATCAGCACAAACTTCAGATAGAAGTGAAGCATTCGAATTTCTCCACGTTTGACCTGTAGCTTGTTCTGCTAACCTTGATCAAGAAACAGATCAAAAGGGGGATACGATCAAAACAAAAGTGCAAACAACGACAGGTTTAGGGTCAACAGCAACCAATCATGATCGAGGTTAGCAGAACAAGCTACAGGTCAAACGTGGAGAAATTCGAATGCTTCACTTCTATCTGAAGTTTGTGCTGATGATGTTGTTCAGAAAAACAATGAAAGCTCCACAACCAAAACATCCAGCTCAGAGAACTGAACACCACAACCACAATCATCCACCTGAGCTACAAATCTTCTCCACCATCACAATAGTAGAAGTATTAACGGTAACGGAGAAGATTAGGGTTCGAGGATATGATTCGAGAAGTATAATTCAGTGAGATTAATTTAGAAACAGAAAGATAGAGATTAAGAGGAATTCAGAGGGTTAGAATTTGAGAGAACACAAAGAGTGGATGCACCTACGCCATTGCAAATAATTTTGAGCCATGTCATTCAGGGTCGCCAACCATTGGTAACTTTCGTCTCACGGACTCCGACACGTAGCCTGTATCTACCAACATGCTTCAGTCCACGTGTCAGTGATTTCATGGATGTGTCATGTTTTGGTTTGGCCGCCCCTAGCTTTCTTCCAACCTACCCCTACTCTAAAAAACATAGCTCGTCGAGGCAGTCGGTGGTTGGGAATACGTAACACATGTTCCAACCACCTCAACTGATGGAGTTTCACCACATACATAAACCGGTACTTACTAAATGAGATGCATTCCATAACAATAATATGGATTAATACAAAGTTTACTATTAAGAGATTTTTCAGTATATAACATACAATGCCGAAATTGTATGGATATGTAGCTCATCAGAAGAGTGCTCAATAGTTTAACTATGAAGCTCCTATTGATGTTTTGGACGAAATTATCAATCCCACTTTACAGACAAGTATCTCATCAGTTTTCCCCACTGACACTTTGTTATACATTTGACTTTGAATGTCAACTGACTGTTTTCTTGACCTCTGAATATAAGACGACTGATTCTCCACTGCCATGTGGGTTAATTAAATACATAGGTAATATGTCTGCTCACTATAGATCGAACTAACTATCACACTGTAGCATTATATGGATATGTACTCACAATCCTGGGAGTATCCAGAAAAAAAGCCATCCGATAATCACATCCAATTCATATGATTTTGCTTACATACATTATTTTTAGTACATCAAAGGACAAAAAGTTTCGTCTTACTAGTAACTGATGGTAAGACCGGTTTATCATTCTCGTCAAAGTTTTGAGTCAACTCATGAGCAATTTTCTAGTTTGTCGTTTCTGAGGATATCAGTCTAATGTATCAAAATATTTAATTCAGTTTTTAATAGAACAGTAGCCATTAGTCATCACCTCACAGCTTCTAGTCACATTTTATGTAATCATCATATTAAATTTAAATATCTTTTTCTACCAGTACTTGGTATTTTGTGCTTAAAAGTTTTGAAAAGCCTTATTTCCACACAATACTTAGAAAATCATTTTACAGATAAGATAGACAATACTTATGTATTTACTTACACCTGTTACCCCCGATGGAGCATAGGTCGCCGACCAGTATTATCTAACCTACTCTGTCCTGGACTTCCCTTTCCAGCTTTTGATCACTGTTCTCAAATGTCTCCATTTCTCGGCGTTCCTTGGACTTCTTTTTTTTATTGGGTCATGAGAATTCCAAGTTACAGTTTGCCATGTGATGCAGTCGGATGCTTACTTCCATGTGTTTTATACACCTCCAGCGCTTTTTCCTAATTTCGGCCTCCGCTGGAATCTGATTTGTCCTCTGCCACAGTAAGTTGTTGCTGATAGTGTCTGATCAGCAGATCCGAAATATTTTGCGTAGACAACTTTTAATGAATACTTGTATCATCTGGATGATGGTTTTGGTTATTTTCCAAGTTTCCACCCCATACAGTATAACTGTCTTAACATTTGAGAATTCTGATTTTGGCATGGGTTGATACTTGTTTTGAGTTTCAGAGGTTCTTCAATTGTACAAATGCGATCCTTACTTTGACGATCTGCGCCCTCACATCCGCATCGGATCCACCTTGCTCGTCAATGATGCTGCCGAGATATGTAAGGGTTTTTACGTCCTAAAAGGCATCTCCATTACGAGTGATTTGGTTAGCGAATGTTGTGTGGTATTGGAGGATCTCGCTTTTCCCTTTATGTATGTTGAGACCTGCTGATGCTACACTAGTCGTTTTCTTTTGCATTTGTTGTTGCGTGTGAGATAGAAGAGCCAAATCATCTGCGAAGTTCAGCTCTCTACTGTATATCGTGCTTCCTTCCAGTTGGATAATGGTGAGTATACTCCATAACCAATCTTCAAATAAACTTTCATACAATGATAGTGTAACAAATATTCAGTGAATCATAGAAATATAATTCAAGAAGAATGAAGAAAAATCACGTTTACTTAGTATTTGTAGAGTATGAGTAAATTTCTACATTGAGAAATGTCCCCCAAACACATACAACGTCCAAACAAAAACAGCTTGACAATCCGTCAAAATTTATTATGAATATGCTTGTGAATAAACAGTTAAATTCTTAGAAACTAGTGATTTATGTCCTATTAGGCATAAACTACTCAATGCTTTCGCACCTGTCTCTTAGTATATCCTTTCTCAGAATAAGGCATAAGAATATTAGAATTCATAAACACAGCCACCTAAATTAAAGATACACTTGTACATAATTCATTGACATGTACATTTTCACGGTACATTGTCTAGCGAATCAAATTCAAATTAAATTGATCGTAGAGCATAGACTAAACAGATAAAATATTGTGACAAAGAACAAACAAGGCATTTTTATTTATTTATTGAATTTTCTGTATTTTATATAGTGCACAATAGATATGTATAAAATCAATATACATATTTCTTTCTTATAAAAATATCAAGTAGGAGAATATACCACTCACATAATTAATTACAAGGAATAAAAATCACTGAATTTATCAAACACTATAAATATCTTTTCTTTTTAAACAAAAAAATAATAATTAAAGCAGATTGTGTTGTTTTACATAATTTTCGAAATGTTAACATAAACTAGTTGAAAAATACCAGCAATACAGAGAAGAATTAAAACTGAAAAAATCCAAAGTTTATGATGAATAGAAATCATGGGATTATTAGTTGATATTGTCATCTCATTGTTAAATGTTTTTCTTTGAGAAAAATAATTTGAAAGTGAACGAGGTGGTAACAAAATCTGAGCTTGTAGAAGATGTTCTTTGCACAATTGATTAGAATTATCTTGACGAGCAAGTTGAGATGCATGTTGAACTAATTGGACAACTTCGGCTCCTGTATAATTAATCAATTGATTTGTAGCGAATAAATGTAACCATTTACAATTGGTCAATGATTTATCTTTTAATGCACGTTTCGATAATTCTAAGCGTAGAATTTCTATTCGAGCTTCTGCGTCGGGTGGTGATACTTCAATGACTAAATCAAAACGACCAGCACGACTTAATGCCTGGAAAGAGAAGCATAAAATTTTGTTTCTTTTACAATGAAAACAAACAACAAATACCTTAGATCTTTTACAATTAGATGTCAGAATATGCACGAACGTAGGAAATAAATCGTTGAACATAAATGCAGTCAAAGAGGAGATGGCCAAGATGTAATGCATAGGAATCGAAGTAATGATAAAAATTGAAGTCATTGGTATAAAGCGATATGAAACTCAAAAGTTAGAATATGCATAAACCATAGTAACTAATTAAAATCCTGTGATATAGTGGCCTAATGATTAGGGCGTTCAACTTTCAGTCCCACATTTGAACCATCCTCCACCTACCTCGGTTTGGGCAACCTGATAGTATCATTAACCCTTACACTTAGTGAGGCTGATAGCTAAGTATCTAATGAATGAGTTATTCTTCACTCCGACGTTTCCAATTATCGAGATTAAAACTATCCCGGAGATCACAACTAGGAATCCTATATCTCTCAGCACGACTCAATCCAGTGGTGATTGACTGTTGCATGAGTCGCAATAGATATGGAGTGTTTTTGCTCCACCATTTCTAACTCTTGCGTCAGCTAACAATGTGTATTCAGGATGCGGTGACTGGGAATGCATAGTATATATTCTAACCATCTTAGGATATGATTTCGGCAATTGATTTGTCATTTCTATAGTTTTAGATCAGCATTATCTTTAAATGATACGTGATATCACAGCCGACACCAAATGATGACACCTATTTATTGTTTACCCGTATTCCTTTATTGTATAAGTGTGACATGTTTCTCAGGATAGGGGTGTTGTGAATAATAAACTGGTTTATGAAAAGTCATGATGAGAAATGATATCTTATCCAACACTAAATATTTTTCTTACATTTGCGTCCTCAAATAATTTTCCCTTAACATGAGCTAATTGAAAAACATTTTGTATCAGACAAAAAATTGCTTAAAAAATATTTTGCTCAGTGCTGATAATGCAATCAAATTATCTCTCCTAATGTTGCAGATACTTATCATACGTGATACGTCGCACTTACCCAGACACTGAAAGCCAACAATAAAAATGTATTTCATTGAAATCATGAATCAAGCATTGTTAGACCACCATTTGAAACTAGGAAGCACTGGACGACCGTTTCGTCCTAGCATGGGACTCATCCACAGTGCGCATAAACGACCCTTGCTTGCGGGAATCGAACTTGGGACATTTGGTCTCGCACGCGAACGCTTAACTTCTATATTACTGTGTTAATGCTTAACTTTACTGGACGTAGGAAAGACACCGTAAGAAAGCCTCTTAGGGTTTTACTTAATGATAATAAAACCAAGAAAATATTTCAGGAGCAACTAGAAAGAGAGTTAAGCAACCATGGAAGCGATTCCCATCCAGAAGCAGGTTGGTATGATATCAAAAAGGCTGTGGAAACAGCAGTGATATCTGCTAGGAAGGTAAACCATAAGGCTAGGATGAAGCCGTGGATTTCAGTCGCATCCACCGAACTGATGGATGCTCGAAAACGCATCCCACCTGACTCTGAGCATGATGAAGAGCGTAGTCAGCTTAGGCGCAGACTTATAAAAAGTCTGCGTAACGACCGCGAACAGTGGTGGGTGGCGAAAGCAAAAGCGATGGAAAAGGCAGCGGCGATAGGCAACACTAGACAACTTTTCCGACTTATCAAAGAAACCGGTATTAAGAACCCGAATGTGAGTGAGACTATCTCGGAAAAGGATGGTCTTATTATCCATTCTCAATCCAGGAGGCTGGATCGATGGGCAGAACACTTTAGGGATCAGTTCAACTGGCCACGAGCCACTCTTCAGTTACCCACGATCTCCAGTCATCCTGAATGGCAAATCGACGTAAGTCCCCCTAGTCTTTATGACGTTGAGAAAGCGTTAGGAAATCTGAAACGAGGACGAGCTGCAGGTCCTGATAGACTGACCCCTGAGATATTCAGGGATGGTGGTCCAGTTTTAGCAGCTAGATTGACTGAGATCTTAGGTAAAATCTGGGAACTGGACGTAATCCCATCCGACTGGTCTCAATCACTGATTGTCCCAATCTATAAGAAAGGACAAAAGTCTTCTTGTGACAATCACAGAGGAATAAGTCTAACTAATATAGTATCCAAAATATTGGCCTCAATAATACTTCAGCGCTTAACGAAAGCTCGTGAAGAGCAGACTCGAGAAAACCAGGCTGGTTTTCGACCTGGACGTGGCTGTATAGACCACGTCTTCACACTCAGACAGGTCCTGGAACATAGACACACATTTAGGCGTCCTACAATAGTTGTTTTCCTAGACCTTAAGGCGGCATTTGACTCTGTTGATCGTGAGGTTCTGTGGCAGTGTCTGTCATTGAAAGGTGTACCAAAGAAGTACATTAACCTTATACAAGCTCTTTACTCGAACACCACTGGTCGGGTGAGGGCTTATGGCGAACTGTCACCGGAATTCTCTACATCAAGTGGTGTCCGTCAGGGATGTCCACTTTCTCCATTCTTGTTTAATTTTATCATAGACATGCTCCTAGACATAACATTATCCTCGTCTGAATTTTCAGGAGTAGACCTTCTTCCAGGTGGCTCGCTTATTGACTTAGAATATGCCGATGACATAGTTCTATTCGGTGAAGACGCTGACAAAATGCAGAGTCTTCTGACTACCCTAAGCAACAATGCAAGCATGTTCGGGATGCGGTTTTCCTCCTCGAAATGCAAAATGTTGCTTCAAGACTGGGTTGCATTGGCACCTGAACTAGTGATAGGGGGTGAAGTGGTTGAACGTGTAGACCGCTTCACTTATCTTGGGAGTCTCATCAGTGCCGATGGCCTGGTGACTGACGAAATCTCAGCTCGGATACAGAAGGCTCGATTGGCTTTTGCCAACCTGCGTCACTTATGGCGTAGGCGAGATATCCGTTTGCTGACTAAAGGACGAGTGTACTGCGCAGTAGTTCGCTCCGTCTTACTTTATGGCTGTGAAACATGGCCAGTGAGAGTAGAAGATATTCGTAGGTTACTGGTTTTCGATCATAGGTGTCTTCGAAGCATTGCTCGTATATCGTGGGACACCCGAGTGAGCAACGCTGTTATTAGGAAACGGGTGCTAGGTAAGAATGGCAGATCAATAGATGAAGTATTGAAACTTCACCAGTTGAGGTGGTTGGGACATGTGTTGCGTATGCCCAACCACCGACTGCCTCGTCGAGCCTTGTTTTGTAGTGTGGGAATAGGTTGGAAGAAAGTTAGGGGCGGCCAAACCAAAACATGGCAGAAATCCGTGAAGTCATTGACGAGTGGACTGAGCCATGTCGGTAATTGTCGACTACCTGGTTGGGGTCCGCGAGATGATAATAATCGATGGTTAGAGACCTTGAATGACATGGCTCAAAATCGTTCGCAATGGCGCCAGTGCATTTATTCTCTGTGTTCTCCCAAATGCTAATCTTCTGGATTCTTCAACACCTCTAGTTTCGACTCTCTAAACTTTTCTCACTGAATCATACTTCTTGAGTAGTATCTTCTAATCCTAACCTCTCCGATTATTTCTAATTCCCTTACTACCTCTTCTACTATTGGAATTGAATTGACGATTACTTCTCTGTGCTGATGTGGTATGGCGACATGAACTGATGTACTTATGTACAAAGTTCTACGTTGCATCTGACTGACTGAATGCTTAACTTTGATCAATCTAAGGTATTGCCTGACCTCATCCACAACAGCCGAGAGAGTTGAACTCCACTGGTCATGGCCTCTCACCAGAACCCGGAAAATTTCTTCACAAAGTTAGTCACTAGTGAGCACTTTCATGATTTCAATGAAAAACAACAATCTGCATAACTCTATTATGACTATAATGAAAATGTACTCTAAAATCTGACTAGAACATTTAAATCATTATACAAAGTTTCAAATGTAGTTTTATAGAAAATTACGATTTTATTCTAATTAAAAAAATAATGGGAATACCGCTAATCGATTTTAGTCAAGAATGATGGACAGATTTTTGAATACGTTAATGAATGGTATTTAATGGAACACAAAACTTAAAGGTTTTGGGGTAAGTTCAATCTTAAATGAAATAGATCTATATAGCTAGGGCATGTAATTTTGAGACTAAACGACTGATAAATACATGCTTACGTTCAACGGTTATTTGATTGGTATCAGTTGGTTATGATAGTGGTATTAAAAAAAAAGATTAAACAATAATTACTCACTGAATCTAAATTATCCATTCTGTTAGTTGCTGCAACGAGAATTACTTGTCCATTTTGACCTTCAACTCCATCCATAGCCATTAAGACTTCACCTAAAACATGTTCACTTGCACTTGTTTCGCTAAATAACAACGAGAAGTTTCAAGAGGTGGTAGAATAAAATATTTAAAAATGATAAGATGCTATATACGAAATAAATTCAATGTATAACAAGCCTAAATTTTAAGACTTAGTATTTCTCTCGGAAGCTTGATCTAAATAACTTCAGCTAATATTTGCTTAAAAAAACATGCCACAAGAAAGAGAGGGGTTATTTAACTTCCAAGATTTTTGCGCATATGAGTAATATACAGTATCTTATGTAAAATTGTCATACAATTTTGTGAAACTATTTGTTTGTACACAAAATTAGACTGTGGTTAACAATGGAATCCAGGATAAACGTTTCGTCTTATTTAGGACTCGCCAGCCGAAGATATCTACGTTCACTCGAGGACTTGAACCCACTACCAATCGCTTCAAACACCACAGTTCTAAACAACGATATGAAGACTCAAACTACCAATGGAAACGAATTGAGAGTCACCCCATCGCAAAATCCAGTAGCTATTCGGACTCAGCAGCTAAATGGATAACACATTGCCGTTCGAACAGAAAGGTATTCAGTTCGAGTCATGTCATGAACATCAACTCTAGGATGCAATACATTCAACTGACGAGTCCCAATTAGGACGAAATGAACGTCCTGTATTTTACGGTTAGTCGAATTCCATCTGTTCTACATTAACTTGTGGTATAATGACTGAATTCAAGCAATCTACACAAGATGCGCATAAGCCAAAAGAGACTGGTCAATTGTAATCTTAAACCTCAGTGGTAAGAGTAATACAACTAATACAAGCGAATAATTCGTTCATACCATAGAAAAAAGTTCAGACAGTAATAATTCACAAGTTAAAAGATTGCTGACATTAGCAGCCACTTACAAGTAGTATGGTTTATTGGATATTAGGCTCTATCTAAAGTGTGAAAGTTAAGAAACTAACAGAATGGAGGCAAGACTGTGTCACACAACAGCTGACAGATCAAGTAATTTAAGAAATGACGCTACATTTTATTCAGATAAGCTGGAAGACTTCTTCATTCTACTTCAATTTACATATCATTAGAAGATAAAATAATACAGCTCAGTAAATACACATGCATATTTGTATACTACTGTGTGGAACTGAATTAATTCATAAGACAGGACAGAAATTAAATGGACTATAGCAATACTATATGGATAAATATAACAAACCCTGAATTTCGTGAAGGAAGTAACAGATCGATTTCATCAATAAACAAAATAGCAGGAGCAGAAGCACGAGCATGTACAAGAATTCTTCGCATATTACGTTCACTATCACCAACATAACGACCAAATATCCTCGATGCTTGAACAGCAATCAACGGAAGTTGACATTCAGTAGCTAGAGCTCGAACAAACATAGTCTTGGAACAACCTATGTAAAAAAGATTAAAATCTAATGATATTGAATCGAATACGTTAGTTAAGAAAAGCAATCATATTACGTAATAAAATTGTCTTAATCAATACAAATAACCTAAACAGTTAAGGACTTTATCAATGCTGTACGAAATACACTTTTCAATCGTTTTGAGATAGGTTATCGAAAAGTATACAATTTCTCGACAAGACTCACTCAACCGAGCGAACTAAGAAACTTCTGTAACCATGTACATGTTCGTGTACTAAACTGTGAGCTACACCTACAGTATGAAGAGTAGCCCGACCGTAGCTGCTACCTTGAAGTGATGGTCGGGCTTGCCTATCGTGATGAACCAAACCAGCTATAGTAGCTCGAACATAGGTTGCTGAAGGTTCTACCATGCCAGGCAGGTCGATTGAAGAACGATGAGACTAAAAGCAGCTACATAAGGTATGAGGGCGAAGTCGTACTGCTGACTGTAGAGGGGTGTGACAGCAGTAAGGTGTTTCCCTCGGACAACCAGCATCTGCAGCGATGCTGCCTTCTCACAAGGAAGGGCTAGAAAAGGTCGACCCTAAAAATGTTACACCTCACCTTACTTCACGGATTCCCGTCTCTGGAGGTAAGGCCTTTGAAACAAGAGCGGAACTAATACTCAAAAACCTTTCATAAAAAGGCCGTGCGTGACCGGCCTCAAGCAGTTATCTGTTGGGCTCTGTGGTCACGCTCCCAGGTCGCTAAGACTAACACTAATCTACCTTCCTTTTTATGTTCAAGAAGCACCCTTCTACGGTGTGGGTAGCCGGGAAGTGACATCCGCCCTCATACCCGTAACAGCACACGGGACCAAATTGACTGACTGACTGACTAACGAACAGTAGCCTGCAATTTAGGTAGGTTGATGTTAAAATACATCAAGATAAAAGATCATACAATTAAGTTAAGAGGTTAAGTATTTCACCAACACAAGTTTTTGAGAACTGGTTTAAACGGTTAAATGTTAATCAGAAGTGATAATTAACGTGGAGTCAAGATATACAGTTATTCTGAAGGCAACAACGAAACTTGTTTCAAAATATCATTGATGTACAGGAATTATTATGATCATTTCTAACGATTCAATGTGAAATCAATCTTACGACATAAAAACAACGATCAGTACAATGTTATTTTGAGTACGCCAGGACCCAGAAAATCAATCAAGTAGGATCTAATACATTGACTACATCTCAACGTACAGTAAAGCTGAGTGAACAGGTGGCAAAACAATTACATTTACACTACAATTCCTCTTAAACCATGAGTATCGAACTCTAAGCTGGATTATAAAGACATTAAAGGAGTTTAGTTATAAGCTTGGTATGGATAGATTTATACAAAGTAAAAGCGTTCGAATACAATGACAATAGAAATACAAAATAATTGTAAATTATACAAAACAAACATAAAAGTAAGTAAGATGAAATTTGAAGATTCGAAGCATAGGATAAAATCTATTCAAGTTTGTGGAAATAACTGAGAAACGAAACCTACCAATCACCAAAGTTAATAAGTTAACAATTCAAAGTGTATAGGCGTTAAGTAATTTGACAATGAAGCATGGCAGAACATTAGAAAACACTGAACTGAATCAAAAATATTTTCTTTTTCCTTTAAGTACTGCTAATAAATTTGAAACCATGAATCGATCAATGTTAGACCACCATTAGAAACCTGGAAGCACTGGACGGCCTTTTCGTCCTGGTATGGGACTCATCAGCAATGTGCATCCACAAATCCTGCACCCCGCAGGATTCGAATCCAAGACCTTTGGTCTTGAGCGCAAACGCCTAACCTCTGGAACACGGAGCCGGTATCTAACGGTGCTAATGTCTCACTTCGACCAATTCATGGTCTTGCGCAACCTCATACACTGTCTTCGGTAGTTACTTCTACACCCGAACAGGTTGAACTTCACTGGTCACGACTTCCCACTAGAATTTGGAGAAGATTCGTCACGAAGTTAGTCACTAGTGAGCACAGGTGATTGAATTATGGAGTATGACAATGAATTTGTTACGGTTACAGGTAAACAGGGATATTCGGTTGTGTAGAGTTACAAATAAAACTAATTGTGAGTATTTATAATTCATAGAATGAACATTAGAGAATAGATTGCACACTATTATTAAGTTGTCATATTGAAAGGGTAAATTAGTGTTTTTTTCACACGATCTCGTCTATCGATCTTTTTAACAGCTATTTTTTAGCTAAAGAACTACTGAATAAGATTGTATTCCACATTTTTTGAGTCTATTTGATGATACAGCATTTTAATTTCATGGTCGTTAGGAGCTTTAGAAAATTATTCATACTAATAGAATTGCTTAAAATGTAAGTACAGTAACTGACAAATACAAAGTAACTTGCCTGGAGGACCATGAAGTAATATTCCACGAGGTACACAAAGACGTAGAGCAGCATCTGCCTTGGCATCTAAACTATTAGGCTTGGCAGCGCTGATTAAACGATCTTGTATCATAGTTTTAAATATGAGTTTGAGTTCATGATATCCACCAATATCAGTCCATCGTAACGGTTCCACTGAAGTTATATGTTGAGAAAGATTAATCGGCAAGTAGGAATGAGATTCGTTGATCATAATTTCACAAAACAAATCTAATGACTGATTAAAGTTTCTGGTTTTTGAAAAATCAGAATTGTCGTTCTGTTTGGATAAGAAAGTTGCATAACTGACATGAACCAAGCGAACTAAATCACTTTAAAAACAATGGAATCAATATATAAGATTAGATATTTAACATATGTTCAGAAAAGTTGGACTTCAGATAATTAAGGCGACTGATCAAAAATGTACTTACAACTGTAAAATAGGTTTCATAAACGATCAATAGAACGTTGAGAACGGTCTAAGACATTACACAATCACTCAAGTTTGGCTTAATCGATGTAAGAAAGGCAGTTTTTCATTGGAATCTACAGGATGATCATAATCTCGATAATTGGAAACGGGTTACAAGGTTCAAACCAATTGCCCTAGTTCCGTCAGTCAACAAGCCAGTTACAACGTAGAACTTGGTACGTACGTACGTAAATTAAGGTTACTCTGGTTCTTGTATAAACACACTACTTTTTTCTCTCAATCGTATATTGTCTCAAGCATCTGGTTCTGTGACTTTGTTAATCACGGGATTAGACAGTCAATTACAACGTAGAACTTCGTATGTACGTACGTACATACACTGCACAGTACACTCGTCCTTTGGTTAGCAAACGGACATCTTGTCTATGCCATAAGTGACGCAAGTTGGCAAAAGCCAGTCGAGCCTTCTGTATCCGTGATGAGATTTCTTCAGACACTAAGCCATAAGCACTGATGAGACTCCCACAGATAAGTGAAGCGGTCAACACGCTCAACTACTTCACTCCCTATCACTAGTTCAGGTGCCGACGCAACCCAATCCTGAAGCAACATTTTGAATTTCGAGGAGGAAAACCGCATCCCGAACATGCTTGCATTGTTGCTTAGGGTAGTCAGAAGAACTATGTCATCAGCATACTCTAAGTCGGCAAGCGTGTCTCCTGGTAAAAGGTTCATACCTGAAAATTCAGACGAAGATAATGTTAACGCTAAAAACATGTCTACGACAAAGTTGAACAAGAATAGGGAGAGTAGACAGCCTTGACGGACACCACTTGAAGTAAAGAATTCCAATGACAGTTCGCCATAAGCTCTTACTCGACCTGTAGTGTTCGAGTAGAGAGCTTGTATAAGTTTAGTATGCTTCTTCGGTACACCTTTCAATGACAGACACTGCCACTGTGTTCCAGAACCTGTCGTAGTGTGAAAATGCGGTTCATACAGCCATGTTTAGGTCAAAAACCAGCCTGGTTTTCTCGAGTCTGCTCTTCACGAGCTCCAGTTAGGCGTCGGAATATTATCGAGGCCAATAATTTAGGTACTATGTTGATTAGACTTATTCCTCTGTGATTGTCACAAGAGGACTTTTGTCCTTTTTTGCAGACTGGGACTATCAGCGATTGAGACCAGTTAGATGGGATTATACCCAGTCCCCAGATTCTACCTAAGATCTCAGTTAATCTTACTGCTGAAATTGGACCACCATCCTTGTTAGTGACTTAATGAATTTGAGCCATGTTTCGGTTTGGCCACCCCTGTTTACTTGACAGTAATTCTATAAATCATAAACTTATTTGACTACACAGAAAACCATCGAAGGGTAAAGACAATATACCCTTAAAAACAAAACAAATTGTCGAAAAAAACATTCAGCGACTAAATCTAATAAAATGCGCATGTTATTAAACTAGAGCGAATTCTATGAAATAGTTCAAATCAATAGTTTACACTAAGTCTACTTACTTTGGTGTATAACCATGCAATCGAGTTGCAACATGAATAAGACTTTCATTTTCATCTATTATATCACATGGTTGAACATTCATAGTAGAATCGTGAGAAGACCCACTACTAGATTTGAAATCAGTCCCAGGACTCAAACACAAGTTGATATAATGATATAATATTTGATAACGTTTACTTGCATCCGGTAGTGATATTAACAAACGTCTATAAAATAGTTCTCTGCATTCATGAATGCTAAAAACTTTATCAATCGTAGTGGCTGTTGCGAGAATACAAAATCGATATACTACTTTTTCATTGTGAACAAAACTCTGGTTAACCATTTGGATGGATTCTACAAGCCTTTCTAAAATTTTAGGAAACATTTTTGATTCAACATCTGTATCAGTTGTAGAATGAGTATTAGCTTCCGTATTATCATCGTGATCAATCCATTTGTCGATGTTAGGCCATAATATAACTACAGGAATACAGCTTCGATTATTGATATCTAACTGTCCAATCATATTCGTCAGCCAATGATAGCCATTACGATTAGAAGATTCCTTAGTCAATTCGGTGATTAGTTTAGATGTAAGTGTGACGAACAATGGCTTTTCATATGAGGACTACAAGAAAAAAATAACAATGCAAATGACTGGAACATATATACATATATATATGACTTAAGTAATATTAAGGCAAGTAGATTCAACGTATAACAAAAAGAAAATTTACCCCATTTACTGGAACTAAGTCCGTTTGGTCATTGGCAATATTCTCAAGAAATGTACGTTTTCCACAACCAGGAAGCCCATATAGAATAATTCCAGGCTTTATATTGGAAGAAAAAGCAGCTTCATTTCCATGAGTACAGGTTAATAAGAAGTTTTTAAGATAGCTAAGTACTACACTTCTAACTGTATCTAAACCAAACAAGTAACTGTTCACATCTTTTGGTTTCGACTTGGAAATCTCAGAGTTTTTAAACCCAACTGATAAAATGTGTGAAGCTTTAGCTTGGATCACAATCAACTTAGTAGAAGAACCAATCTAAAACGATTACAAAATGAATAAAAAATACAATCAGAGTTAAGTATCCACTGAAAAAATTTAACAAGTTCGATTGTATTGGAAAATTAATTGTTAACATTAAACAAAATTAAGGTATCGAAATAGTTGCAAATTTAGATGTGAGAAAGGTTGCATGTTGTATAAATGTAAACTAGATGTTCATGAAAACCGAACGGTTTTGAATCGGATAATATATACTTCACATTTATGGAACTTAGTAGTATGAAATGTAGTCTTGGGACAAAACCATGGTCTAGTATTTAGTTACCAAAATGGTCTACAATACAGTCAGAAGTTGTCAAGGTAGTCACATGTTTTACAACTGCTATTTTCTTTATCGACTGAATTTCGTCATATATGTAAGCATATAATGAGAACCAATACTTTAGAGTACATATGAACCAAAATCATCAATAGTGTACATACAGGAGGCAAAATTACAAGCGCAAAAACAATTATTTATTTCATAGAAGTGGCTAAATGAGAAAAAGACTAGAACATAGGAAACTACCAAATTTCTTTTTAACGCGTACATACATTTAGACGTAACTCAGCTAATAATCGATACAGAAACTAATTTAGCAAGTATAGTGAGAAACAATCATAAAATGGATGCAGCAATATGGACTGGGTTTGAGGAAGTGAAAAATGTATGACAGATTACATGATGAAACATTTTAACTTGGCTGCCGACTTTCTAGTTGAAAAAATATAAACTTCAAGACAGTCCCAGTGTCTGGAACTGAAACTAAGACAACTAATACAACCATCATCAAAAAGGCACATGTATTCATGAGGGTGTTTACGCAAGATACTCCAGATTCCCTGAATGGACACTATCAGCAACAACCTTTTGTGGTAGAGACTAAAACAGCTTGCAACTTGAAAGGGAAATTAGGAAAACACGCTAGAGATGGATAGGATACACATGGCAGGAATCACCAAACTTCATTACAAGGCAAGTCCTGACTTGGAATTTGCAAGACGAAAGAAAAAGAGGAAGACTAAAGAACAAATAGCTCTAGGAATTTGAGGTTAGCATCAGAAGAACGAATATCACTTGGTAAAAACTGAAAGGAAGAGCCCACAATACAGTATGTTACAGAATGCTGGTCGGCAAGATATGCTCCACAAGGGGTAACAAGCGTAAGTAAGCCTATGACTTAGCTAGTATTGTTCGATCAAAGAGTTCGTAAAAGGTCAATTCACTTCTTTGGTGCACCTTTCAATGACGGATACCGCCATAAAATCTAACTAGGATCCTTAAAATGCAGAAATACAACTATGGCTGAGTCGGTAGGCTTGTTTAAGAAACTAAAGGATGAATATTTTGTTAAAAGTTTGTCCTCAGTCAAGATTTAATCACAAGTAAAAGGGAAAATGACAAACGAGTGGTACTGTTATCTCGTGCCGATAGAAAATTTGAAATTTTAGTCTCTCTTTTTTCGCTCTTGCAGTATGGTAGTGTTGGATTATGCAATTTATTACTATTTATCAGTGAGTTTAGGCCAGACTTAACAGTTTATAATTGCAAAACTCACTTTAAACACAGGCTGATCAGAAGTTCTCTGAATAAGTTCACATGACCAAGGATTATCAGTGTTGTTGAATGACTCAGAGGAAAAACTGAAATCGTCCCGATGTGGAGAAAAGTCAGATTCCTTCTTTACACTGGAAAATTAAGTAATTGAAAACATCATACACCCCTAGGTGATAAAAAAAATTCCAATAATTCTGCTGATAATTATGTCTTTACACCCATGTTCATGTGTTTAAATTAAAAAACCTAGGAATCCGATAAGGCCAAAATGGTGCTTATAGTTTCAAGATGCATCTATAAACATAAAGCAAAGCTGCATTTACCTAAAGCAGTGTTGACAAGTTACTACTCTACTATCAAAAAAGCTGGATTAAGTGTGCGGAAAACAATAAAATAATACCGAAACACTTTAAGGCAGAAAATTTAGATAAAGGATATAAAATAATGTAACCAGTCGTAGATCTCTAAAATTGAATGTGCTTGTATCACTGACTAATTTATATCTGTACCAACTCGACTGTCTTAACCATCTCTGCCGAAAGGAGCACGTACTAACAGTATAAAGATCAGACGTTAGGAGCGTCACAAACCGCAAACATTATTTGGTTCAGTCAACTAAGCCAAGTCTTCACCCAATCGTTAAATTACGATTTTGGACATTAGAAATAAAAAACATGAACGATGCAGTTAAAAGCTACCGATTAAGATGATTAATTTTAGAATAATGAGTAGAAACATGCTCAGCACACTAATATGGTTTGATAGAGCACGTGACATTTTTATAATTAATAATAGACTCCACTCAAAAAAATGGTTTCATCGTAAAAGGATTAACAATATATATCAGTTATGGGGAGTCGCAGCTAACTTTTACGACTAAACGAACCCGTTTTACGATTAATCGACATTCAGAGGCAACTTGTCATATGGACAGGTGATCGTGTATATGCAACTTTTAGAAGCTTAAAGTATGCCTGATAAAGAGTTTAACTACTTTTCATTGGGACTACATACATGGCCAAGGAAAATGTCTAATTGAGTTGTGTAATAAATGAAAATATCTTACATGCTTTCCCCGGTATTTTGATAGAAAAACGACTCTCCGGACGTAGAAACGGCCTCGGTGATTATTATACAAAAGTTATCTCCAAGTGCACGAATAGTCTGCATCGTTCCGATTATAGTATGTGACATTTCTAGGGAGAAATTAAGTCTGTGTTATAGAACTTACGTAACCTATAATGAAGACTATTCTCCAAAAGAGGTAGGAGAAATGGGTCCACTGGATTCCTACTTCACGGTAAAATTACAATAATTTAGGTTACATAATCTCTAGTCTCAAGGACTTTGCAGGAATCACTCGGTGTGGCAGTTGAATGATGAATTTTCGACGTATGTCTGAGCCAAACTTAGATAATGCCGTATCAGAAATCTCAACATTGTCAGAAGATGAAACTCCGATGACAGCGGGAAATTTGCCATCTACGACGACAACCTGAAATACACAAAGCTGGTTCTTTCGGTAAAACGAAAGGGGGAGTAATATATCAGGCTTCATTTGGAGCTGCAAATGAATCAGAAATAGTGATACAAGCCCCCAATTTATCTAATGCCCACTGTCTTTAGCATATTATTCAGAATTATCCGGTGACAAGATAAACAGTACATGTCATGTAGCATAAAACATCGACAAGACGTTATCACGCTCGCCCCAAGGTTACCACCTGGACCTCTAGGTCACACCAGCTTGACGTATATAAAATACGCCATGAACTAGTGTATTCCTTTGAGCTCATTTCTTCACAGAGATGTAATATTTCCAGTCTTCGGTTATTAGTTTGACTATCTGACTGTGCATTGTGAGACACTTCTTCAGAACATAAATACCTTTATCGGGTGGAGGATGTTGGATATTAATTAGTCAAGAAATATTGACAAACAAAGTTTTTAAAAAAGAGATAAACAGAGGTTATAAAGGTCATTGTGGGCAGAGATAAGTTCTCGATATTGTTGGTAGAATAGTGAAGGTAATAATTATAAGTTTTGAGCTATACACCAGATGCAGTTGTTCCAGACAGAAGACGGTAAGCTCGCTTTTCAAGCTATCGTTTAGGATGGATGTGGTTACGTTTTCGAGGAGAGCATTTCTCGTAGAGCCCACTAGTAAATAAAAGGTTGAGTGTTGTCGGGGTGTTGAACATCTATCTCCCTGATAAATGTTCATGGTGTCCAGGCTTTCTATTGGCAACAGGTCTATTTGTCTATACTTCTCATCTCCAAACTACCTGTTAAATGATCTTACAATTTATTCCATCAGTTAACTTATTAACAGCGTGACATGCGACATGGATATATAATCCAATACACCAAAGCTAAAGCTATCTGCTTTGCTTGCAAAGTGGGGCTAGTAGAGAAAGTGTAGTCCTACATGGTGTACAAAAATAGAACTTGAACTAGAAAATATTAGTTAAAATCTGCCACTAGACTTAAGTGAGCCTAACATCACAAAAAGAGGGATGCTGGTGTATCTTACCAGCATTAATGACGATGGGACGATAACATCAATCTACCCATATCTGTGGGGTGGAACAATTTGTTTGCTTACGGCTCCTCTCGATTTAGCAGCATGTAACTAGTAAATGACATTGATGTTACTTTTCCATCTTCAACCACATCTACAACTCATGTTTGTAACCTTGCACTGGTTAAACTTCCTACAAAGAAATCCTATTATAAGCAGATCAGGACAATTATGTTGAAGAAGAGCTCGGTCATGACTTCTTGACCTACAGCGTTAGGAAAAAAATAAATGAAATTTCACCAAAGCATCCGGTCACTGCACCCTCATCAAGATTATTTCTAACAGTTTAGTTCTTTTAAATGTGTCTTGCGAAATATTAACGTAGCTGAACAACCTTTTACAGAAATCATGTTGTCAGTTTTAACATTTTGATGTTGCAAGTAAATTGGCACGCCTCATGTAACATGTTTTCATTTAGGAATAAATTATTATTATAAGATCAGTGTGATGATAAACCCTAAGAAGTAACCCGAATCGAGGTAGATTAATCAGTGGCGTGCTGATCATCCACTTGACAAAATGGATGCATATAATCTGTCCATCCCATGGCCTTCAATGGCGTTGGTAAGGAACCGAAAGTCAGGTTCTCATGTAATCTGATTTAATTCGAGAAGGAAGGTACGGGGCACTCTTTTTTTAGCAAGCGATCAAATAGACGTGTGTGTTATAAAGAGAGGCTCGGGGTTCCTCCTAAGATATAGTACTGTTCATCGTCCTTGTTTGAATCAACCCACCTTTTTGGTCCGAATTCTTATTCAGTGGTTAGAGAAAGGTTTTTGATCCCGGTTGTCAGGATTATTGTTTGAATAGATTCTATGTTGGTGCTATAAAAATGATAATGTGATATTAATTTTTATGTTGATTTGTTGCAAACGGAGCAGCTTGGTACTATGAAAATAGGCCAGAAGTATACGAGACTAAATGTAATATTAGAACATAGTCTTGATTACTTGGTGTGTTAAGTCACAATCATGGTGAGTGCGCTTGAAAACAAAGGTTGATTACCTGGACTTCTAATCAAAGCAGAAGGAAGAGAAAGCAAATGCTTACGACGTTACCAGACAGTTGGAGGCTTTCATACAAATTACTCAAACTGTTATATTGCATAGAATGAATTTCCTGAGTGGTGATACAGCACTTGCTTCCGACACTTCAGTCTCAAATGACTAGGCAATTGAAGTAGTGCACAGTATCCACATCAGTGAGGATTGATTTGTTAGGGCCTTAATTGTTTGAAGAGAGAATAGGTTACTTGTTAGTGGCGTCAAAACGTGTTTGTAGATTTTCAGGCTTCTAACCATTACTGACACTCCATAAAACCCCAGTTCATTACTCATCACATGCTAATGACATTATACCATCGGAAGATACGAGATACAAGGGGATTCAAAACAGATTTGAAGTGACCTAGTTATACTTGAAGAGTCGGCACAAATAGTAGTTTGAAATTCACGATCTATGGATGTGAAGCTGTGTTGTTTCGATCTACAGAGGAGTAACAGGCTAGCAGAGTCCCCTACATTCACTCTTTCTTCATAAGTTCAAGGGACCAGGACCTTGACCTGTTGCCATTAGAAAGCCTGGACACCATGAACATTTATCAGGGAGATAGATGTTCAACACCCCGACAACACTCAACCTTTTATTTACTAGTGGGCTCTACGAGAAATGCTCTCCTCGAAAACGTAACCACATCCATCCTAAACGATAGCTTGAAAAGCGAGCTTACCGTCTTCTGTCTGGAACAACTGCATCTGGTGTATAGCTCAAAACTTATAATTATTACCTTCACTATTCTACCAACAATATCGAGAACTTTCTCGGTCCCAGCTAGTTGTTTAACTTTTCCACGCTATGAGAATTTGGACCCACGCAGACTGGCTTTTCGAAACCCATGTTAAGCTTCATGCAGGATTTTGTTCCTTCCTTTGCACTTCCTTTATTGCTCGTTCACCAAATCTTCCAGCAACTTCTATAATATTGGTATTAATGAGAATGATCTGGAATAGGCTGGGTCCTTCCTTTGTGGATTGGTGGGAGGGTTGCTCGTTTCTTTTCATCTTTTAGTCGGGTCACTTATCTGTGAACTGATGGCTTCTGCACTCTGTTTCAAGACTGCGGGGCAAATATTGTCACATACTGGTTATCATCCATTACCGAAGGATTTTAATTGCTTCAAATTCACAAATTAAAGCAAAACTGACGAGCTTATTACCACTGTTTGCTTGTACAAGCCAACTCTCAAATACGTTGTTTTATATAATCAATGATGATTTCGAATTGTCGCCTTGTGCTTCCTCAAGGCTACTACTTTATCGCAGATGGACTGTGGTAACGGATTCAAGATCAATTTAGAACAGACTTCAGACAACCCTCTTGTTTGCTCAGTATGCTCGGCTCATGAAGTGTTTGGAATATTACCTGCTTGTCTGCATGTAGTATGTGTTGCGTGTGTTGAATATATGCGCAAGGAGGACGCATACTGTTGCATTCTATGCAAGGAGTCTAGCCAAAAAGTAAATTTACTCATATTTCTTATATTTCTACTAGATCATTAGCAACCCTAACATTTGTAATACAGAAAACACCAACAAGTCACCCACATGCAATTGGTGTCATGACAATGGCGAACAGACAAAATCAATCGGACATTGCGAAGAATGTGACATATGGCTATGTGGGGAATGTCTGAAGGGTCATAATCGAATGCCTCCACTACGTAACCATAATATCACATTGCTGTCAAAGAGCGAACATCTAGGTTAGTCATGTTTACAGTGTTTCCGAACTTCGTCCTGTGATCTAACAACGAAGTTTAAGTTGTTTGCAATTATATTTGTTATCATAAGTTTAAGTGTTACATGTCTGTTATTACGAGTAAGTTGATGTTTTCTGTATCGTGCCGCGTTTGCCTCACGAGGTAAAAGCATAATGAACAAATCAATGTCTACAGTAGGCATATTGAACCTAGAAATCTGTTCTACAGCACAAATAAAAGGCTTAATCCCGCAGTATGTTCAGCTGTTGCTTGTTCTGTAGTCGCAAGCAAGTATTGGTACGTATTACATTGCTGGTAGGTGAGCTAGATCGATCAATGTTAAAAACCAAATCTTTGAAACAGACGTACATGATATATTCGATCCTGTTTCACCGTCTAACTGTCTACTATTTGGGATTGATTATAGTATGTATTTTCATCTAGTTCTTCACATCTTATGTGTTTGTAGTGTGATTTGTAATTGGGTTACCTCATCGATTTCGAAAACCTAACTTTCAGTAGGTTCAACTGTGATCCCGTTAGTAATTTATTGTCATTTTTGAAACTTGAATCACAGAAATCAGTGCTGAACATAGGAAGGAGACACATTCCATCCCAGCGGTGTGCTAGCCACTGACAAACAATCAGCCAGTTAGATGCAATGTGAAACGTGGTACATACACGCCACAGTTTAAGTTTCCATATCCCTTAGCACAGAAAGATGAAGTTGTCATACCGAATAGTCAAGTAGTAGAAGCAGTAAATGCAGCGGTGGTGATGGGAGGAATTAGGGATCGAATATATGGATTCAAGAAAGTATAAATCAGTGAAGTAGGGAAGTAAAAATGACGATGAATTCAGAAGCTCAGAATTTGGAGGCGGACAAAGAATGAATGCACCTGTGTCACTATAGACGGCTTTGATTCAAATCACTCATAGTCTAACCTCCATTTGCGATTATAACACGGACTCTAACGAGCTAGTCTACAAGTACTAACTTAGTTCAGACCAATTGTCATGTGCATATCCTAGGTCGAAAAATCAATCTTTTGGTAAAAGATTAACCCCTGAAAAGTCAGACGAGTTCTATTCGCAAAATCGTATTTATGTCATAGTTAAATGAAAATGGGCAAGGCGGACAACCTTGATGATAGTTCTCCACAATTTCTGACTCGAATTGTAATGTACCAGCCTGTACTTCTTTGTTTCGCCCCTCAGTGACAAGCACTTCTAAGAACCTCACGATCAACAGAGTCAAACACTGTCTTCGGGTCAAATAACACAACCATTTTCGAATGTCGAACTGTGCTTACATGTTCCGGAACCTGCCAAAGTATGAATATTTGGTCTCTACATACATATCCAGTCCCTTTTTTGCTTCTCACTTTAAATTGCTTGTAACTTTTTCAACCGCATTAAGAGTCTCATGTTTGACGTCAATTTGCCATTCAGGTTCTTCGGAGATGGTAACAGGTGTGGTTAAAGGCCAGTTGAGTTGTTCCCTCGTGTTGCTTAAAGTGGATATGAATTATTGATCCATCTTTTTCGGAACGGTTTCACTAATAGTTGAATTTATAATTTCTTTTCTTTGGTAAGCCAGAACAGTTGTCTACCATTACCTAGTGCCACTACCTCATTTTCTTTTGATGTTATCCACTGCTACTGATGATCATTATCTAGGGTTTCTATGAGACTGTTTGAGCTACCCTCGCCCTTTATCGTGTTCAGATCCAGACAGGATGTATTTTCGCAAATCTCTCAATTCAGTAGAGGTAGTTGAAATCTACCGATATTTCCCAACTTTTGAGTCTAATTTACTGGTAGATTTCACTTCTGTTTCCACAGTTTTTTGGGTATCATTTCAAGCTTTCTTGGAGTAACATTTTCTGAACTCGAATTATTAGCATCAGTGGCAAGGTGATAAACTTATACGAGAAGGGTTAGTTGTGTGGATAAAAGAACTACTCAAAAGCGGAGGGAGGATTTGATCGTGAACATTATCTTAAATACTTCTAGACATATAAGGATGGTTGTTACTTCCCAGCTGCCCACACCGTAAAAGGATATTTCTTCTTGAGGGATCTGAATAGTAAGATGGGTTAGTGTTTTGTTCTTAATGAGCTCATGGTGCAACTCATTGAGTTTGATCGCATATGATTTCCTTATTGGATTTTTTTGATGTGTTAGCTCCGCACTTTAAAGGGCCTTACCGTTGGAGACAGTAATCCATAGGATAAGGTGAGGTATGACATTCCAATAGTTGACCTGTTCTAACCCTCTTCTTCCATTATGGAAATACAGTAGTATTGCTGCAGATTCTGATTTTTCAATGGAAATATTTTACTTCTGCCACACCCTTTTATAGTCAGCAGTACGACTTCTTACTCGGGTCTAAAATTTCTGCTTTAAGTATTACCTTTCCCCGACCTATCTACCTGGCATGGTAGAACCTAAAGAAATATGTGTTTCAACCAATATAGCTCGGTTAAGTCATCACGATAAGCAATCCCGACCACCACGTCCGGGTAGCAGATACGGTCAGTCACTGATTAACAGTTAAGAGTCTACATATAGTTTGGTTGTAATTTACCTGACTATAGCCTGATTAGTGTTCGATTATTTCTACATAGTCTTCCATTCAATCTGCATAGTTGTCCTATTGGCGTCTGTCCATGAATGAATTAAAATGACTGATTATTTGAAATTTTTCATTTCAAGGCTCACTCCGATGTGAAGCACACCCAAACGAAGCACTAGAATGCTTCTGTGAGGCTTGTGGAGTTTTGACATGCCGTGACTGTCAGTTATCAGTTCATAGAGATCATGGAAGTCATCGATGGGTTGGAGAAAAGGCTGTTCAACTAAAAGCTCCTCTAGAAGAGGGCATTCAAAATCTTAAAGAATCTGGGAAAAAACTATCTTCTGCTCTACTTTGCGCTACTAACGCTCGTACTTGCATGGAGGACAGCTTCATATACAGTGTAGAGAAAGCTCGTCAAGATATCAAATCACGGACGTCTTCCCTCATTGACTGCATTCAAAATCGTTCTGAATGCCTCCTGAATGAACTCGACAAAAAGTCAGATATATATGTTGTCCGACTACAGGAAACGGAGAGTTTGATACGTAAGCTCCAGGTATGTCCAGCTCACTAGGTAACTCTAACTTAATCGTTTTGTTTATTTGTGACATCATTTATGTAATCTATGAATGTATAAGCTCCCACTTTTATATAAGATACGTCCTTTGAAAAAGAAATATTGTTATCTTGCTTGACCACCTAATTACCTGCTTACATATACATAGGATCAGAATCACTTTAAGTTTGTTGTTTCAATCCCTTTCAAAATATCCAGTTAATCTGACTACTAGATGGTTAGATATAAGATAGTTATTAGTAAAAAATGATTTTGTAAAGTAAAATAATCAGAACCGTTACGAAAGGGATCTCTTCGATGTGGAACATATATTCCAGAAATACCTCAACCACTTTAAAATAAATATTAAGATATTACAAAAGTAGCTCACAATAGACTGTAGGTTGTTTAAATTACGAATGTGGCTGGTCACGTTTAACGATTTTGTCTTATCGTCTGTTTTATGTGACTGAAAACGAGGACAGATTCTGTGACACGTTTCCAATCAGTTTAATAGTTTGTATCGAATCACTTGACATACCCAAACAATTAAACTGGATAGTATATTGATAGAGATATATAAGAAGTGCGTTCACTTTCTATCTGTATGGATGCCTTTATTTGCGGATTATTTCAGTCAGCTGTTTATATCGTGCTTAAAATTAAGCTTAAGAACATATGTGATTACTTTTCTCATTAAACAAGTTTAATCGTAATTTATTTCACAATAAAGGAACAAATAAATTTCGCTTCGGCTTTTTCAAATCATCTCATTCAAAATGTGGACAATGATCCTGCTAGCTTAGTACAACTCTATGAAACTGTCAAACTGCGACTTGATGTACTTCAAATACTATCTGAACAAATTTTGAGCGATTCATCGTCTGTAGTTGATTCATTAGATCAAAAACTAAAAGATCGAATAAAAGAGTCCAGTTTATGGTCTGAAAATGTTGTTGGCTGGCATGCCATGGTCAATACACGAGCATTGTTTCTTGGAACTTGGGATGCTGAAGAGTTGTGTCGATATTCTGGAACAATAGCGTGGCTACCCAAAGAAGCTAAAACTACATTTTCTCCTAAGGATAATAATAGTCAAGCATTGGGCTGTCAGTTAGCTATGAAGATAGAAAATGTAAGTTTCAGATAAATTTGAATTTATGTTCAAATCTGAATGCTGTGTCATTACATCGCTAAATATAATTAATGTGTATAATGTCTTTGAATTTTTAAACAGGTACACTTGATTTTTGTTAGATGTATGAATATTTTGTTCACATTTTCCATGGTTTAAATATCTGCTTGCTTACTTTTTGGATACCGTTGGTAATTTTCCTAGCAGAACCTCATTGTCCGCGTTTTTCTTAAGCAAACTAGATATTAAGCAATCTTTAAAAAGTATTAACTTATTGGAATTTGATAGTTTAGATCGAAATCGTTCTGTCATGTGTAGAATTCGGCAATGGTTATTAGTTTGGAAAAAATATATGGTTGATTTGACATTTTTGTGATTAGGAATTGTGAAGTAGTTAAACTACGCTTAAGTTATGTGATTGAAAAATACGAAAAATGCTATATATGTTTCTTCCCATATATCTAGTTGTTGACATTTGACGAATAAATTTGTGGTCATTGTAACTGTGACTTATTAGTATAATAAATGACACATTCTAAAGTCAATAATCTTCATTATTTTACGGTGTTGAGAATGGTATCCATTCAAAAACTATCATGTTCATGCTACTAAGGAATTAAAGTAAAGCTAACTATATTAGTTGTGACGATTGTTGCTAGATTGTATTGTATTTCTGGTTTTGTTATCTCTTTATGGCTATCATAGTTTGTATTACTTGTAAGCTGTAAGATGTGTTTAAAAACATGTCTATACGGCATCAACTTGCAATAGACTAAGCAGTGTTTATAGTTTTCTATTTCGATACTAGATATGCGATTCAAATGAATTTCTTGACAAATAGAAATATTTTGTCGTTTCAGGGATTATCGAAACCTAACGAATTGGCAAGTAATCAACTTTCTTCGGATACAAACGATTTTTTGGATTCTCTAGCAGAATTAGATGGTGATAAGTGGATATGTGGAGAGACTAATGGTGAATCTAATTCTTCTCCAGTAGGATGCGCTATCTGTTTTGGAGTAGGACTACTTGCACACTGTGGCCGTTGTAGCCGAGCATATCACTTGGATTGTCATTTGCCACGGATAAATAGTATATCATTAACACCTAGTTGGGTTTGTGGTCTATGTGCTGACAAAGAGGTTGATTCAGCTGCTCATATTGATCCATTGGTAAATGACAAGTTTTCTCGTAGTGATTACCTAGTAAGTCAGATAGATATACGGATAAACCTTGTTTTCATCTTAAATTAAATCTAAGAAAAAAGTACTCTTTCTTTAGAATTAACAAATACTTACACATAGTATATACTCTAATATCACTTTTAAAAAGCCATTTGTCTCTACAAATGAAAATTTGTGCAAGTGACACGTCAGTAATTTTATTATTAAGCACATCTAAGCTTGTCAGTCAGTTAACCGTAGACCACGTTGAACTTGCATCAGTTCAAGTTTCCACAACAGGGCGAAATGAAATTGTCAAACCGAACATCAGTGTAACAAAGATAGCAAGTGTCAGCTGCTTAGAAAAGTAAGAATGTATTTTTTGGATAAGAAGTACGAAGTAATTTCAAACTCAATAACTTTGGGAAGATAAAATATGAGTCATATCTACATGACGACCGATTCTAAATCATATCATTGAATGTCCCAAACCAATGGTTACGGTACCTGCTCATACTCTAACTAGATATTTCGATCAGACTAACATTCAGTCACTTTATTGAATGATGTGACTTCTTGGTTTGATCATTCTTAGCGCTCTTCTAACCTATTCCTTTTCTAGTAAATATCAAGAGTCAAGATCGAAAATAGCTAAACATATCCCAGCTATCTCAGTCGATGATGTGCCACAATCTCACCATCCGAGTCGCCATCTTTATCCGGTACCGTGAGTCTAACTTCAGTATTGCTCATCTAGTGGTCCAGACATACGCGAAAAATGCTTCAAGGTCATCAATAACATAATAATACGGAATATCCGCCCTTTCATAGGCAGGTTTATGTGATAAATCTAATTTGAGCTATTTTGTTTACCAGTCACTAACATTACAAACAAAGTTTAGTGAATCGGTATGAAATTATAACCATGCAGTTGATAAACAAGTTTTTTTGTCTGTCCTGGTTTTAGTCAAGTAGTTATCAGAAACTTATCAAATAAGCTAACAGATAAATCAGTTTCAAAATATTTACTGAATCTATTACTCATTGATAGAAAGTGGGTGATAAGATATCTACATACTCAGTAATATGAGTTAGCGATTAGAATCAGCTAAATGTCACTGTAAATGATTGTAAATTGAAACAATTGTATACTTTTTCAAAAACTGTAATACTTTATTTCTTAGCTTTTCATGTTTCGCAATTGAAAATCAGTTTAGTTGCTAATGTTGTTTGATTAATATGTGGCCAAACTAATATTTTTGGGAATAATCGTTTCAATTTATAGGCAGGATGTCGAATTTTAATGGGTTTGTTAGTTCACGATGAAGCTGTTCATTTTACTGCATCAGTTTGTCCAGCATGTTCCGTTCCCCTCCTATCTACTACTCACTCTATGCCCCATTGTCCTGCAGGTCATCTCTATCATCGCCTTGCAGAACTTCGACTATACTTGGAAGAAGCAGCTTCCATTCCAAATGGTCATTCAACCATAAATTCCAATCCTTATTCAGATGACAACCAATGTCGTTTTACTCGCCTCAGTGATTGGCTTATAGAGGTAGATAAGTTTTGGTCAGATGCTGCCAAAGAAACCAATGTAAGTACCATTTTGAAATAAGCATAAAAAATGTCGATAATAGTTTGACAAAGCTGTTATTGATTTCTAATATTGAAGGGTTTTTGAAGAATTCCTTTAGCATAGCAAAGTGTTACACGTTTTTCAGGTTTATGTAAATCTCCTTTGATTGTTCGTTATTTAAAGTCATTACACACGTATTATTATTGAATTGTGATGGCAAAATATTTGCGCAAGGTGATAAATGCTAAATCTGTTAAAATAATTAAGCTTCAAAGTATATAGTCGCCTTTCACATTGATTTCCTAACCCTGATTGATAATTGATGAACAAAGTAAATGAGTACTGGGGAATTGAAAAAAAGTAGTGAATTTGAACATTTACATTTATTATACGCCTTTTAAATTATACGATAAGTATCATTTCATGATTTACATTCTTCCGTCTCATTAGTTCTTTCTGATCTATAGTTATTATGTTTAGATTTCTATTAGGGTGGTTAGTATTACTGTTCCACCTCCTATATCTCTCATCTTGTTTTTCTCTGTTGATGTTTTAATGCAAAGTGATAATACACATTCATATGAGACCATACTTCAACTGTCCTCGTTTGTATATAAGATTCAGTTAAGCTTACCTTTAGAGTTCAAGAGTTCTGTATGAAGTATGTCATTGTTCCTTTATTGCTTTGAACCAAGTATCACTTACGTTGAAAAAAAAATTTAGCTAATACGAACGAGTACTTTGGATCAATTTATTCAATCAATCACGATTTTGATTTTTCATTGATTTAACTAATTATGCCTTATGTTTCATTTTAGATACGTGGCTCCACTAAGGGATGTTTACAAGCAGCACGTCGGCTTCGATCTCGTCTAATCTCACTTGTACGTGAACATCGACCGGATTGTGAAGCTATTTTATCAACTAAAACAATAACTAATGATTTAATCAATGAACCACTTAGTAATAATCCATCTGATGTAGATAATTGTACACCAGAACCGTATGTATTGAATTCATCTCCTATTCCTTTAAAAAATGAGGTTAGTGAATAGTAGTAGTAGTAGTAGTAGTTCAGTAAAAATTCATCAGCACTATTATAAACCCGGTTAACAACTGAACAATCAAGCTATTGAATATGTAGTATACTCTCTAGCGTATTTCTACTATAATAATATTATTATTTCATATTGTATTATGCCATTTTTTCGTATATATATATATATATGTACAAGTGTAACTGGTTATGCATATTCTTTTACTTTGGTAAGAAAGTTCTCTGTAAGCTATTGTCTCTCTCTCTCTCTTTTTTTTGTACACACACTATACTTGTTATTGTAATTTTTATGTTATATAGTCGTGTTTTTGACTTTATACTAACACTTTATCTTCTCACATTTTCCAACTGTGTGACAGTATTTATGCATTTATATAACTGTTGTTTTTATTGACTGTTCTCTTTCCAATGAAATTTTCTGAAGAAGATATATAACCAAAGACAAAAGTCTTTACCTGTTCCTTTTCTATTATTTTTAAGATATGCATGATTTATTTTGCGTATAAATATCTTCGTTGAACACTACTCGTAATACTGCCGAGTTAGTGTTAGGCTATAATTAAAATAAGTATTAATCGGTCTTTAATGGTTTATCTACTCTAAACATTAGCAGTGATGCAGCCTAAAAAAAGAGGAGTACATTCATAGTAATAAACAGATTATAATATTCATAAGCTGGTATTTGTTTACACGAAGTAGTTATATTTAGACAGACCACACCAATGTTGAGTTGATCATGAATTTCATTCAGCCAGTCGGTTACAACGTAGAACTTCGTACGTACATGCATCACTTCACGTTGCCATACCACATTAACACAGAGATGTAATTGTCAATTCAAATCCCATGACTCTCAGTAGTTTAAAATAAGTCACAATTAGTTACTTGTCTAATTATTAGCATCACTAACAAGGTAATTCAGCTGTTCACTCCATAATCGCTTTTGCAGTAATCTAGTCAAAGGTTGTACATTCTGAGATGTACATTGTGTCACCTAGTGATTGGTTGTTACATTAGTGTAAAAACTATTTTATTTAGTGTTGTTAGGGAACGGGTACTAGGTAATGATGGCAGGTCATTAAATGAAGTAGTGAAACTTCACCAGTTGACGTGGTTGGGACATATGTTGCGTATGCCTAACTACCGACTACCTCGTGGAGTTATGTTTTGCGATGTAAGGATAGGTTGGAAGAAAGCTGAGGGCAGCTGAACCAAAACATAGCAGAAACCCATGGAGTCATTGACAACTAGACTGAGTCATGTTGGTAAGTGCAGGCTACCTGGTTGGGGTCAGCGAGATGATAGTAACTGATGGTTAGAGACCTTGAATAACATGGCTCAGAATCGTTTGCAATGGCGCAGGTGCACTCTCTTTGTGTTCTCCCAAGTCCTAACCTTCTGAATTCGTCATTACTTCTATCTTTCTCTTTCTAAATTTACCTCACTGAACTATACTTCTTGAATAACATCTTCGAACCGTAATCTCTCCTATTACTGCTAATACTTTTACTACCTCTACTACTATGGGATTTGAAGTGACAATTACATCTCTGTGCTAATGTGGTATGGCAACTTGAGCTGCTGCGCATACGTGCAAAGTTCTACGTTGCTGTTGTTGATGATGATGATGAGTAATCGTTAACAAAGGAGTAGTATAACCTGTCGATATGAAATTAATTTCCAGTATATTTCTACTGTAAAACTCAAATTATAATCGTTTAAGTTTTCAATTAATTGTCATATTCTTCGCAAAATCCAATAATCATCAACCAACCTACTTGATTTAAACAACAACAACAACCAATCAATTCACTTCATATTTAGTGTGTATGCATGTTTTAGATTTTGTTTTTTAACAGCACTTTTCAATGAAGTTAATTGATTATTTTTCAGTAATATTCAATGAGTTGTCCCTGTTTGGCTGGTTTAACTGTTATAAATTATAAAAAAAAGTTAGCTGATTATTGGATGACCACTTTGTATTGTAGTCGTTTGTTGAATATAGACCATGAAGCCGAAATTGAATTCCACAAATGGAGAAGTAATAGTCAGTAACCCAGTTCTTTATTGTTACTCTTGAGGTAGGCCTGTTTTCTTTTGTTGAGTCGATCACTGTAAAATCATGATAATCGTTTGACTGTTAAACGAACCAGCGCCTTCTAATCAATCTAACTAACATGTGTACTTAGTTTCATATAAGACATTCGCGTAAACTATCAGAAAAATTTATTGTCTTTAGGTAAACATTATTAATTGATTCAAGACCAAACCAACTACAAATATTTTGATAACGATTATTGTTGGGGACGTTAGATCCCTAGAACTCACTTGGAAAAGGTCATAATTTTGGATTTTATACTTTCGCACATGGGCTGATCAGTTGCCCTCGAGATTACATTTCCTACCCGGAAAATCCTTGATTATCATTTGTTGGTGTGTTATTTTAGTACGCAATTTTTGTGGCTCTCCCAAGGACCTTTCCATCATGTATAAATAAACTCGATTTGTGTGCTTGTGAACCTCGATTTTCTGGGTGCTTGTGGAATACACTTTTTACGTCTTGTCAAGACTTCTTCCTCTGCTTAGTGGGGCCTTGGAACGCTCGGATTAGAATAGCCTATCGTGTCACTGGATCATTTGTCTTCGCTCTCGTTTACCGAGTAAGGTGAACTCGTAATAGTTTCAAGCATATCACAGTTGAAGTGCATAACAATTATATGAATATCAAAACTATGGTACAAACTAGACTGAATCACTGAGTTGCAATCCATTGGTCCCTATTGGAAAATTTAGTCAATTGATGAGTTATTCCAGGCATTATCTAGTAATATCGATAGGTGATAATTTTACACTGGCTAGTGGAAAAATGTAATTATTCTGTAATGAAATCAAAATACTATTGATGATGATATTGATTGCATATGAATTTTGAAAATTTTTGTGTAGAATTTATTTCCGTTAGGCTTTCAACTAAATACTCCTTTATAAATGATGAAATAATTTCTAACAGAGAATTATTTTGTGAACTTTTAAAATAAATTTTTATCTTTTCTAACGTATAAGGATCTATATTTCATTCATCAGCATCGTCCATTCATGATGATTCAGCTTGATTCATTTAAGGATGACAGATTTTTGACAGTTTATTTTGCTATTAATATTTACACAACTTTGTTCACTCTACATCAGCTCATTGGATGAAGTAGCTAACGTTACAGGTACAAGTTCATGTACTGTAGGATTCGTCACTTAATCTGCTTGAAGCTATTACGAGTTTACCTTAGTCGATAAACGCGAACGAGACTTTTACCAGTGTCCAGGTAGGCTACCTTGAATCCAAGGCTGAAGTAAAAAGGCTTTGTAAGCGTAGAAGTATATTCTACAAACACCCAGCAATCACAGTACAATCAAGCATACAACTCTCGTTTATTTATACAACATAGAAACGTCCTTGAGAAAATAACACACTAAAATACACAGCAGCCAATCACAGCTATGGATTTTCCTGGTGGGAATTGAAATCGCAAGGTCAGCTGATCAGCCCACGCTCGCAAACTTAAAAACCAAAATAAGGTATTTATCAAGCGAATTTTGGGGATCTAACATCCCCCAACATGTACCCATCTTGGAGTCTAACTGTTTATTTACCAATCTATTTTAGATTCGAAATTAAATTTAAGTCAGCTGAAAATATCTTTTAAATTACTATCATATTCGTTGATAGCAGTAGCTATAAAGTTATTTAATTTCTCTGATCAGCTGATCTTAATAATGATATTAGTTAATTTAATTTGAACATTGATCACTAGTCAATTGGCAGGCAACATCAACCTTAATGATGCATTTATGTGTATGTGTACATCGTGAAAAAGATAGACACGTTTAACTAGTTAATTTTTAACTTTGTTTTTCGCAAATAATTAATTGTATCTCGCACTTCAACTAAGCTATTGATATAAAGTAATTTTATTTATGAATCTGCTTTAGATACCAACTGATTGAACATTAAAAAGACTAATTAATTAACTCTAAAGTGCAGAAAATGTGATTACGTTGTTATAATTATGCTGTATAGGTAGGTACTCGGTATATCCTATCATTGTCAGTTCATCACTGATAAGTTGTAACCTGATTAAATCGTAACGGGTTAGTACTTTCATAAGGATGTCCTACTATGTCGAACATTGATGTACCGTTTAATGATTCCGTCATCGCCATTACCACCCACTGAGATTTCCCGAAAATAGGTTCCATTGCTATGCAGGGTAATATATATATATATATATATTCCTCGGACAGAATGCTCCAACTACTAAGTCTGTACAATCTCTAACACTAATATTTGTTATATCTCCGAAATTCGCATTTAAGATCTAATTATGGTCACTCATTTGGCATTACCTAATCAATATAGAAAACCAGCGTGACTAAATATTCGTATATTTGGTATACTGACTACTAATTCTCATGTCTGAAGGTAGGTAGAGCACGACGCTGAAGAGTAGAACAAAAACTGCAAGTCTGAAATCCGATACACTTGCTTCTGTTGCTCGAAAAGTAAGGATCCAAAGGAAAAGGCACGCTTTTCTTTCCTGTCTTCTGTACTTATGCTTCCAGCAATCACAGTCGGGATGAAGATGAGTTGCAGAAAACTTTCTGACCTCCATCAGGAATTTAAACGCTCAGATGAAGTTATCGTAACAGGCGATCTTAATTCCTAAATAATTCAAACCAAATTGGAAGAGATTTATGTACATCTTAAGGTGTTGTAGAGTATACGAATAACAATTCTGTCAAGCAAAGATGATATCGAATGCAAATGACATGCGTCCTCATACTCGTCAAAGCACACGGGACCAAATCGGTCACAATCAAATCTTTTCTACACCTAAAAACGCTTATCTCCACGACCAACCCTTCTTTCGTCCCTTTGTCACCTCGCGCAGCTGATGCAAATGTTTTAAGCTAACAAAACGTTATTCCTGATCTGAAACCTGGTTCTAAGCTGCATATTGGAGGTTTTAATGTTCTAAACAGTGGTGAGTAGCGAAAGCGAGAGATGGAAAAGGCAGCGGCGATAGGCAACAGTAGACAATTTTCCAGACTTATCAAGGAAACTGGTATTAGGAATCCTAGTGTAAGTGAGAATATCTCTCAAAAGGATGGAACTATTATTTATTCTCGATCCAGAAGATTGTATCGATGGGCAGAACACTTTAGGGATCAGTTCAACTGGTTTTCAGCCACACTTCGGTTACCCACGATCTTCAGTCATCCTGAATGGCAAGTCGACGTAAGCCCTCCAAACCTTTATGAAGTTGAAAAGGCTATAGGAAATCTGAAGTGAGAGAGAGCAGCAGGACCCGATAGATTGACTCCCGAGATTTTTAAGGATGGTGGTCCAGTTTTAGCAGCTAGATTGACTGAAATCTTAGGTAGAA